AAGTCTGGCTGAGAAGGCATGCCAGTCCGGAAAGCACAAGCCCCTGGCTCTCTCTAGGCCTGCGGAGAACCTACGCTCCCCTTTCCTGAACAACCAGCCCTTCTCAGCAGAAAGCGCGCTGGCAGCCAGCAGCCTGGCGTCTGCTTCTGCAGAATGTTCTACTCACTGCTTCTGACAGGCCCCAGGCTCATCAAATTCTAATAAATGTCACTTTCAATAAATCCCTCTTGCATGACTTTCTCTAATTAATGTGGGCTAATTAGAAGCATTGATCCCTCCTATAAAGCCCCCATTATGTGCCAGCACTGCACTGGGCACTTTTTGTAGATCATCTCATTTAATATCTGTGAAAACCCCTCTGACTTTTAATTATCCCATTTCATAGATTAGAAAACTGAGGTGCACCAAGGTTAAATAACACACCCGAGTGGACTCAGTGAAAGGTGGCAGAGCCAGGTCTCAAACCCACGTCTTTCTGATCCTTGAGCCCATGCCTTTCCTGTGGCACCACAGTTGGGGTCTAGCTCTGCGTGTGCCCCCCTCTGCCCTGCAGCCTCCTCAATCCAGGCCTAGGCTGGTAATGACCACCAACTTGGCTGATTTTTCTCAAATGCCTTATCTGCCAGGAGTCACAGTGTAGGTGATCTAGGACACCAAGTGTGTGTGTCTGTGTGTGTGTGTGTGTGTGTGTGTATGTGTGTGTTTGAGAGAGAGAGAGAGAGCAGAGTGTCCACATAAGGCAGGGCCTGGAGACTCGCTCCATGATTTCCAGTTGGAAAAATTTCCTGGATCTCCCTAATCAGATTCCGACAGCAGGTCCAGGTCATCCATGGCCCTCTCAAGCTTCATAACGAGCTGGTTGGATGAGCTGGCATGTGTCTGAAACTCAACCAGGCCTCACCGCATTACCGACTGGAAGCCCTGTCTCAGTCAGCCCTTGGGCTGCTATAACACAATACCACAGACTGGGTGGGCGGCTAAAACAACAGATATTTATTTATCTCAGTTGTGGAGGCTGGGAAGTCCAAGATCAAGGTACCAGCAGATTCAGTTTCTGGTGAGAACCCTCTTCCTGGCTTGCAGACAGCCACCTTCTGGCTGGGTCCTCACCTGGCAGAGAATAAAAGGCTCTGGTCTCTTCCTCTTCTTATAAGGATGCCAATCCCATCCTGGGGGCCCCACCCTCCAGACCTCATCTAAACCTAATTACCTCCCAAAGATCTCATTTCCAAATACTCCATTTGGGGGGTATTAGGGCTTCAACATATGAATCTAGGGGGACACAAACATTCAGTCCATAGAACCCTCCTACACCGATACAGCCAACCACCCGTCCTGGTGACCTTGGAATGGCTGTAGACTCCCAGGGCTGTCCAAGCAGCTTGGCCCAGGCCCAGGTGAGGTCTGTGGCCAGAGGAGGTTGCAGTTGCTCTCCTGTCAGCCCCCTGCTCTCCTGTTCCTCCCCCTGCTTGAAGGGCTCCAGGGAAACCAGCAAGGGTTGGGACTCCCAGCCCCACAGCGTGGGCAGCAGTGGTCACTTCCTCCCAGGGGAGGCTGGCTGCACATTAGCAGAGTCCCTGTCACTGGTGACAGGGCAGATCCACCAAGCTGCAGGCTCTGCCTTCATCAGCATAACTGTGGAGAGACAACTGTGGAGAGAAAGAGGGAAGAGTGACATTCTAGTTTAGGAAGAGAAAATACACAAGGGAGATACCAGAGAATAATTTCAAGGCAATACAGGAAGAAGTTCAAGTTTATACTGGTCCACAATTCCTTACCAGCAATTCTGATATCCAAAGACCTGTAAAAATTAGAAGTTTTTAAAAAGTTATTTGGTGGCAAAAAGTGACCTGAGCTGATGTGAGGCAATGTGTGACATCTGTGGCTGGCTATGGAGCGCAGCGCCAGACCAGGAGCTCTGCTGGAATCCAGCGGGTGGATTCTAATGTCAGCCAGTAGTCAAGTGTGTTTGAGCTCCAGCTTGGAAGCTTGAAAGGAAATACCTGATAAACAGAAGCAGGGCTTTCTAATCTCCTGGGCATCGTCTTTCAGATAAGTGAAATAGAGAGAGGAGTCAAGTCTAATGTCAAATACCCTCCATTCCACACCAGCTCTATAAATGCCAAGGAGATCTACAGTTTGGCAAGAGTGATGCCATCATGGCCTCAGAGAGTGTTATGGATTGAGTTACGTCCCCTCAAAAGATGTTGAAGTCCTAACCCCCAATACCTGTGAATCGGCCCTTGTGTAGATAGGGTCTTTGCAGATGATCAAGTTAAGACGAGATCATTAGCGTGGGCTCCAATCCAATATGACCAGTGTCCTCATAAAACAGGGAAATCTAGACACAGAGACAGATGGGCCCAGAGGGAAGACCATATAAAGACTGGAGTTACGCTGCCACAAGCCAAGGAATGTCTGGGGCTACCAGAAGCTGAAAGAAGCAAGGTGGGATCCTTCTCCTACAGGGTTCAGAGGGAGCACGGCTCTGCTGACACCTTGATTTTGGACTTCTTCCCTGCAGGACTGTGAGATGAGAAATTTCTGTTCTAAACCATCCAGTTAGTGGTACTTTGTTACAACAGCCACAGGAAACTCACGCAAAGGACCTCCCCAGATCTGGCTCCCAAACTCACACAGCAGCTGGAAGATCTTCTACAAGACATCCAGAGGTTCTCTCTCTCTCCTCTCCTCCCTCAACTGGCTTGGGGGTGGGGTGGGAAGAAAGACCTGTGGTGGAGGAAAAAAAGGGGTGCTCGTGCTGTGGCCTGCCTTGGTCTGGGCTCTACATATGTGCCCACCCTGAAGCAGAGCTGCATCCTTATGTGAAGAGGAGGCATGGGCCAATCACTGCTGGGCGGGGGGCGGGGGGAGTGGGCCTGCCCGGCTCAGGGTGGATGTCTCTGTCCCGTGGGCACTGCTTTCTTTGCAGGCTTATTGAGCATAATTAATCGATGTTTCCACTGACAACCAAACTAGGGCAGCTCCTCAGGGTACAGCCCTGAAAGCAGATTCCCAGGCAACTCCAGTTCTGGGGCTCCTCTGCAGCCTTTGCTCAGAGCCAGACCCCATGAGAACTCCACTGAGTAGAAGAAACCGGTTCCGCCCAGATGGTTGGGTTCCCAGAAGCAGCCCTGAGCCAAGCCAAGGCCTCCTTACCCTCATGACAGAGCCAAAGGTGACCCAAGAGTGATGCCTTCCAGCCCCGACCCCCTGAATTGGGAGCACCCTGAAGGAGCCTGGGCCTGTGCAGCCTAACTCATTCTCTGCAGGACAGGGGACCCAGACGGCATCACAAGGAACTTGGGCTTGTCTAGAACCCCCTTGGTCTGTCTGGCCTTTGGAATGTCCACCTGAAAGCTCAGCCCACTTCCTCCAAGGCCCCCTAGCCCCCTGCCCTGTGTGGCCTGGCTCACCTTCCTGCCTCCCACCGTCAGTCAGGCAAATGACTTCTCCCTCAAGGTCCAAAATGGGGATGTGATCTTGGCATTTACTTTTGGAAATGAGCAAAGCTTAAGCTGGTCAAGGGAACTGAGCTTCTGAGTAGGTATCTGGAGGACAGAGCAGAGCCCCTCAGGAAGGCTGAGCTGGTTGAGGACAGACCCGAGACACCAAAAGTCAACCAGAAGGAACACCTCCCTCCTGATGAGAGCAGCACAAGCTGACCCACAGCTGGATACATCATCCTCCCCTGTCTCCTCCGAAGTCCAGGACCAGGCCCTGGAATCTCCTGCCTGCAATCTTCGGGCAGGCCACACAGCCCTGGCTGCACCCTCCATCCAGCGATGCATGCTCCTGGGTGTCCTGAAATGCCAGGAAAGGGAGTCAAGAAAAACAGAGACTCTAATCCCAAACCATCTTGGTGACAAGCACAGCTCCCAGTACAGGGAAAGGATCTGGCCTTTCCAGGGTTGGCCTTCAGTCTCCTAATTTAACTTTCACTAACAGTGAAATGCACCTCTCTAAGATCTCACTCGCCTGGTTTTCTTCCTTCCAAACTGTCTGCCATTTCTCCTGTCCTTGAAGGAGGATGCTCCCTGATGTTGAGTTTTCTCCACAGCCCTTCTCCTCTCCCTGCCGGTGCTCTCTCTCTCCATCTAGGTCTCACCTAAACTCATGGCTTTTGCTGCCCTGACATGCCAGTGTCTCCCCAGAAGCCTCCCTGTGAGCTCCAGGCACACAGAGCAGAGGGACCAGCTCCCCTTGGGTCCTTCAAACCCGGCGATCCAAAATCCACCCTATGATGCCCCCCAGCCCCCCTCCACCTCCTCCTCCATCCTCAGGAAGCAGCTCGACTCATTAGCTCCTGCGCACAATCCTTTGACGGCTCCCTTTTGCCCTAAGGATCAATCCAGCCTCTAAGCACTCAATCTGGCTTCCACAGACTTTTCTAGCTTCTGTTCTCATTCTGCCCCCATGTGCAATGCCCCCGGATACACCATTGGTGGTGGTGGGTTACTTCTCAAAATGCCTGGGGGTGCCACAGGCAGTTAATGCTCGGGTCAGAGTCCAGGGCTGCTAAACGTCCTGTCCTTGGAGGTGCAGGGCACACGGAAGAAGGCTTCTGCACCCCCCCACGCCCTCCCCAAGAGCGCCATGTCATACCACGTTTCCCAAAGGCCTCAGGCTCTCACACTCCCCTGTTTCTCTGCAGCTCCTCCTGTCTGGCATGCCCTTGCCCAGCTCTTCATCTGGCTCACCCCCCTCTGTCTCTTAGAACTCCCCTGCATCCCCTCTGTGATCTGCATCCTAACCCGCAGGCTGGGTCAGACATGCCTCCTGGGTACCGCACCTCGGTGGGAATGGCTTCATGGGGCCTTGAGGGGCAGGAACCATGACTCTCCGGCTGGCCCCTGGCCACTGTGTGAGCTCCTTGAGGGCAGGGTCCAAGCCCACAGAAGGCCCCTGGGAGTGGAATGGATGACCCCAAGTGTTGGCTTTTCAGGGACTCCCCCTGGCCCTCCATCAAGTGAGGTGAGTCTACCTGCTTCTTTCTGCAGGAGCTCTCCAAGCTGGGCCTGGGGAGTGACACGGAGGTGGAGCTGCGGACTCTTGAGCTGCCTGTAGATTACAGGGAGGTGAAGCAGAGGGTCACCAGAATCTGGGAAGATCTTCAACCGCAAGTAAATGACAGCTGGGGAAGCGGTGGGGCAGGAGTAGGGGTAGGGGGCTGAAGACATTGTGGATCCAGCGTTGATGGCTCAAAAGTGCACCCTGCCCCACATCCCAACAGTAAGGTCCCAGCTTGTTTCATAAGGTTCTGGGTCTGTTTGTAAAAGTTTAAGCTGAACTATGGAGCAGCTCTTGGAAGGAGACTCTGGAGAGACAGAAAGAGTAAAAGAAATGGAAGCTTTATTCCCAGTCAGGGCTCAAAGACAGTTTCCACCTAACAGAGATGCCACTGGGTTAGGTCCCAGCCGTGCCCACGCAGGGCAGGCTGGCCGTGAGGTGCGATGTGAGGCGAGGACCTTTTGGGCCTGGGAGAGCAGCCGGAGGGGGCTCGTACTGGGAGGTGGGAGAGTGGCCCATCTGGGGAGGGCTCATCTTCATCACACTCAGCCTGTTTTATTCAGACAGAGTTACTATATAAAAAAACTGGCACAAATATCCCAAAAATATGAAGACCAGATGATGAGATTAACAAAACCTACACCACCAAACCATTAAGACAACACCCCAAATGTTTTGATAAAACTTTCAGCAGCTATTTTTCAAAGATGAAGAATAATCAGCTCAAAAAAGTCTAACAATATTTTATTAGACTGTTACTAACTTCCTTTATTAGAGTTTCATAAAAGAGATGGAAGATTCCACTGAAATGCTAAGCTTCTCCAGATACCAGCTTAGATACCAGCTGGACCCCAGGGGGAAAAAGGGAATATACTGCCCTGTAGGAATATTTTGTAATATAGAAGTATTTGAATTAAATGCCACATGGGCTTCTGTCCAGCTGTTTTACCTTCCAGCACATTAGCTAGGGGAGGAGGCCGGGATCGGGGGCTGTGGTGCCAATCTGGGGTTTGAAGATGATTTGCACTCTGGAGCTCCCCCTCGGCTTGGCCCTTCTGCCACATCTGGTGAGCAGAGCAGATCTCAGTTTCCCTCTCTCTCTGCCTGCACATCTCACGTGTGTTTACACAGCTCGCCGTGCATGTGGGCCTGGACGCCGCCGCCAAGGCCATCGTTCTGGAACAGTGCGGCAAGAACCGGGGCTACCGGGACGCTGACATCCGGGGCTTCCGGCCCGACGGCGGCGTGTGCCTTCCAGAAGGCCCGGAAGTGATCGCGTCGGGAGTCAGCATGAAGACGATCAGCAGGCGTGTGGCTGTGGAGGGCGTGGAGGTGGCGTTTTCCCGGGACGCAGGCAGGTATGTTCTGTGGGTGTGGGGTCACTGAGCAGGTAGGGGAGGAGAAACGGCTCCAGTGTCGTTCTTTCTTCAGGGACGTCCGCCCTTTTTCCCCCAAGAGGCCATCTTGTGCCGTCCGGCTAGGCACTTGGTCACGGGGTGCCGCCCCAGAGTAGCCCCTGCAGACCAGAACGTTGCACACACCCGCCTGAGGTCTCGGTTCCAAGGCCCCCTCCCCCTAACACGGCCTTTGGTGCATTGACAGAGGAGAAGACACGGGAAGGCGTATTTTGAGTGCCACTAACATTTTGTGGATGTTTTATTTTTATTTATTGCGGCCAAAGTTGTGAGTTAACCATTCTGATTTAGCCTCAAGATTAATTTACCTTTGTTTCTCCAAACTTTGACCCTCTCCTCCGCCCAAAGAATAAATGAACAAATGACTCAATGCAGACATGAATGAGAGGGGTTCACAGTGGTAAAGCTGTTTTGGACTAATTGGTTGAAAATCTGGTCCCTTCCCCTGGGCTTGGCCACTTGCTGGGTAGGGGATTATGAGGCCAAGAGCCAGTCTCTCCCCACCTCATTCCCAGCAACATGTTCTTTCTGAGGCAGAAGAACAAAACCTAAGTCTCCCTGGGGGGGGTGTCCTCCCTCCTCATGCTTTGAGGATGCTGCATGGCCACTTCTGCTTTCATTTCACTGAGGTTAGAAGCTGGTCCAAGGAGTAACATGGTGTTTCGTGTGGTTGCAGATATGTCTGCGATTACACCTACTACCTGTCTTTGCATCATGGAAATGGGTGCTCGGCACTCATCCACGTCCCTCCGTTATCTCGTTGGCTCCCGGCCAGCCTGCTGGGAAAAGCCCTGCAAGTGATCATCCAGGAAATGCTGGAGGAGAGGGAGAAAGCCCGAGCTCAAAGCCTCGTTTGCAGAAAACTCAATCTCTGTGACTCCAGCCAAGGGGAACCAATTGGGGGACTGCTCCTTTAGAGAAAATTCAGTGTTTCAATCCTGTGTGCAGAGTTTTACTGTGCTTTGAGAGACTTTTAAAAAAATTGCTTGTAAAACAGTTTACACAGAGAAAAAAATTCTGAATTAGCCCAACGAAATCACAAAGGGTTATTTTATTGTCAGAAGAAAGAACACTCCGAAAGGCAGACATTTCACAAGGGATTAACCAGCTTCAGTTATGGTTTTCATGACAATAAAATGAAATCCTAGTAATTTTTTTTCTCTTAAGAGACCATGTAGCGGGCTTGTGTGATCCTGCCCAGATTGCCAGGACCACAGACCTGTTCTGCAGAGCCCCACGTAGTGAGTTGATCCATGACCAGCTGGCCATGGGGAAACACATGTGCTGCCACCACTCAGGTGCCCCATTCCTGGTCTCCAAGCTCGAGCATCCAGGTGCCATGGGCAGCTTCTGAGCCACTGAGTCTCTAGTGTTTGGTTTTTCTCTTTCTTTTTTTAAAAAATTGTGGTAAAATACATGTAACATAAAAGTTACCATTTTAACCATTTTTAAGTGTTCGGTGGCATTATGTACATTCAGTTGTTGTGCATCCATCACCACCATCCATCTTTAGAACTTTCTCATCATCCCAAACTGAAACTCTGTACCCATTAAAGAATATGTGTCCCCACTCTCCCCCCAGCCCTTGGCAACCATTATTCTGCCCTCCATCTCTGAATTTGAGTACTCGAGGGACCTCATATAAATGGAACAACACTTGTTCTTTTGTGACTGGCTTATTTCACTCAGCATGTCTTCAGAGTTGATCCGTGTTGCAGCATGAGTCTGAATTTCCTACCTTTTTAAGGCTGAATAATATTCGTTGTATGTAGAGACCACATTTTGTTTATCCATTCACCTTTTGATGGACACTGGGTTGCTTCCACCTTTTGGTTATTGTGAATATTACTACTGTGAACACTGGTGTGTGCAAATATCTGTTAAGAGTCCCTGATTTCAGTTCTTTTGTGTATATACCTAAAAGTGGAATTTCTGGATCATAAGGTAATTCTGTGTTTAATTTTTTGAGGAACTGCCACACTGTTTTCCATGGCAGCTGCACCATTTTATATTCCTACCAGTAGCTTTTGTTCTTAAAGCAAAGGTTAATAGCTAGGTTTAGCTTCTGTGCTGTGGTCAGTACTATCCCTTTTCATCTTGCATTTTCCCTGTATGACACTGTAGTGGGTCTTGTGCCAAACTGCTCACAGCAAGGTTTTACTTGCTGTGAGTGTTTTCTGGGAGCAGATTTCTTTTGGGAACCCCATTAGTAATATTGTTCTTCAGAGGAAGGGGTTGAAGGTGGCTAAAATCTGGGAAATTTCTTGTTACGTTGGTGTGCTCTCAGCTATCATTTTCCACTTAATTACATTTAAAAAAATCGTCGTCACTTAGTGCCAGATTCATTCACTGTAAGAAAAAGCATCTTCAACTTAATAACAAAGGAACTGGGCAGGCCTTGCTTGTTTTACCATTAGCCCTCCAGCATACTTGTGCGTTTGGAATAGACTTTACAGGACTCCCTTTGCAAATGAAACTGGCTCACTTGACATAAAACAGATCAGAGTCACAGGTTAACAGATCAAAGCCAGCAAGTGGAGTAGGATGGTCTGGCCAGCATGCGTGGGTCCGGCTGCACTGTTGTTAATGTGGAGAGTCTTCTGTATTTGTAGGCAAACATCTGCTACCCAGAGCCTCGGATGCCCCCCTTCTAGTTCCTGTCTCAGGACAGTGGCAAGCAGGGGGCCTCTGGGACCTGGCTCCAGTGTTATTTCAGATAGCTTGGCGGCACTCATACACATTTTACAAACTTTTAGATGTCATTCAGTTGGGAGGCCAGAGCTCCCTCTTGATGAATGTCCCCATCATCGTCCCCTCTGTGGCCTGCAGAGTTCTCTGTGAAGAACCCCAGAGGGCCATTTCACATCCTGGTCTAAGTGGCCTGCCACCCCGTTGATACACACTGGGGTCTGTTGAGTTACGGCTGATATGTGGCAGTTCTGAGTCAGTTTGAAAGCTGACTAAGCTTAAAAAGGCTGAGCCCTGGTTTGGTCATTTAATAGCTGGGGGGGTCTTGAGCATGTCTCTGTATTTGCTCATCTATAAAACAGAGTAATAAAAATCCTTCCTTTGCAGAGTTGTTGTGAAGATCCAGTGAGAGAATGGATATGGAAGTCCATCAGTGATGAGAGAACACTATAAAAATACACACCTTCCTGAGTATAGGCTCGTAGCAGGACCTGTGAGGGTAAATATAGAATAGCCCTGCTGGGTTTGTGGTCTTAAGAGGTGGCACGGTGGGGAGAGGTTCTGACATTTCTAAAGACCCAGTACCTTCATCCTAAGAAGAAATTGCTGCTGCTTCTGGCAGAGGACAAGTGTAGAACATGCTGCGGCCACCAGGAAGTGCAGCGTCAACCTGCCCAGGAACGCGGGAGAGCAACATGGCACGCCTCTGTCCACCCCACCTGAAGCCCAGACATCCATCTGAGCCTTGGAAATGAGCAGTCTTTAGTCGTCGGTCATCTAGTGAGTCCCCTGAGTGCCAGGTACTGTGACAATGGTGAGCAAAAACCCTGGGGTAACGTCAAGCTTGAGAGAGCCCCTCTCTTAGAAAGGCCTTTTGTTTTCAGGTCCAAATCCTTGTGAGACTCACAGGTCTTCAGTAAGCATGGCCTTTGGTTTCCTGCTACTGCCCACTCTTGTCATTTAGCCCTTTATCCAGGGGCTGATTTTGTTACTGGAGTATAATTTGCCATGATCAAAGTTTAGTGAATGATCAGCTTGTCCTCCTGATGTGTCTAAGCATCTCTGGGCTGATTCCAGAACATACACAGCTTCTTTCCTTTGAACATGTATTTACATTTCCTACCATAACCATTTCCCCTGGCAAAGATAATGATGCCTGGATCGTAGAGTCCCTGGGGCAGGCCGAGATCACCAGCTAGAAAGTAACGAACATTTCTGAGCACCTCCAGTGAGCCGCATCCTGGGGTACTTACTTGGTTCTCACCGGCACCCTCTGAGGAGGTGCACTAGCCATGAGGTACCGACAAGGACATGGAAGCGTGAAGACTTGAAGTCGTTTGCCCCAGAGTCACTCAGAGCAGACCTGCCTTGGCCTGACTTTAAGTAAGTCAGTGGAAGGTAGAGGAAAAGTCTACAAATCCGTCAGAAATGAAGTACAGGTTTCTATATTTTATGTATTCAAATTTTCTTCTAGCTGATTTAATGGAGTGAGAAACAGAATAGCTTCCCTGTCTTCACCAGCAATTTGCATGCTGAGAAGGTTCAGCTGTCAGAAAGAAAGAGCCTCACACGGAACACCTCTGAACGACATGTGTGAACACAAATGCCACCCGCAGCTCAGTTTCCCTGCCTCAGAGGCATGCTGATTCTTCCAGAAAGGGGGGGAACAAAATCAGAGGCCAAAAATGCATACAGAATTCTTTTATTTAACTTAAACCATGTCGTACTTTAACTACTAGAAAAAAGCAGAGTAAGAGAAACTAAAGTTGCTTTAGCTTCAGCCATTCAAAATAGACAGAGTTTCTTTTTTTCTCATAATGTAAAGAATCCAAAGTATATCGCAATAACAGGAATAAATTCTTACAACAGAATATACAAAAACATTTTGAAATTTTTTTCATCTACTGATTTTTTTATATAAACAGAGGAATTTTTTTAGGAATAATTTATACACAGAAAGTCATTTTATGTAACAAATTGGCCATGTTATTACCTTTTTTTTTTTTTTTTTTTTACTTTTTTTAAAAAACTTTTTTTTAAACAAGAAAACTCAGAAAATGCATTATTTGCGATGCATCCATTCCATCGCGCCTTCTGGTTTGATTTTTTTTTGTGTCCCAGAGGTAGACAAACTCTGGCGAACCTCTCACCTCAACCTCACTGGCTTAGAAAGCAGACAGGTGTTTTTGCCAAGCATCTGTTCCACCTGCGGATGTGTCTACGCAACGCCCAACATCCGAATGAAAAGTTGAAAACAAAAAACAAATTGTTTCTGGACCTTTCTCCCATATACTGCAAAATATCCAGATATTTCCAACCATGGGAATTTTGTGGAGTTGTGTAGAACATGGACGATAATTTGTTGGGAGCTAGAGGAAATGGAGTCAAACAAAAAAACTTGTACGTGTATAGTCTTTATTAAAAAGAACTTGTTTTGTATTGGAAAAATGTACCTATCTTCGGTGTTCTGCCTTAAATAAAAATAAGTAGGGTCTCTTCCTTGCATTAATCCTGATATGAGGCATGTAAGCAAACGGCCTGCGTGCACCAGAATTATCATCTTTTGCGTGATAAGTCTGTATGCTGTGAGCACTGTGAAAAACATTAGCTGTACAATCAAGTCCTTCCATCTCTAGGCATTGCATAACAATAACAACCAAAGCAACCACACCAGATGCTCAGTAGTGCCACGGGCACCGCTGGACTGCAACACCTCTGCTGTTTCCTTGGCCAATGAGGTTCTTTCAGTCTGTTAAAGTAGCTACACTCCAAAGGGAAATGACCAGTAAAAGACGATCCCCTTCGCAACCAGAGGGTTCTGGAAGACCAAGATACTGAAGATACAGAACTACTTCAATCATCATCATTCCTTTGTTATAAACTAGGGCACAAAGCATGGGGGAAAAGAGGGTGAACCACGGCTTGGGTCAGGGAAAAATCTTTTTTTGGCATATTGTAAAGCTAGCTAGTAAACAGGTGTCCTAAAAAAAATGGATCACAAACACATTTGCACACACAGAGAAAAAAAGTGTCTTTAAATTATTTTCGGCAATTATAAACTACATTTTATAAAATTATTCTATGTTCTTACAAAAATGCAATGAAACATTTAATTAGTTCTTGTAAACCAGATCTTCGTCAACTGACTACCCGTAATCTACTGGACTTAAGAGCCCTATTGAAAACGCTAATGAGTGACTAATTAAAACAATGTTTACCAGAAAGATGTGGACACATACAAACGTGGACATACAGATGAGTGATCATTATGTTCTCGCATAAACAAAATAAAGCAAAACCCTAAAGTCATGCCCCAGAACTGACAACTGACGGGTGTGATGCAGTTCGAGTTCTTGAACAATTTGACTTAACTCCGCTATAACAGTTTCCAAAGTAGGATGTTAGTTTGATTTGTTGAAACCAAATGCCCATGGATGACTGTTGAGCCTTGATGTGGTCTGATATCTTCAGAAACCATCACGTTCAAAACATGGCCCACACTTCTTCTAAGCCCTGTACCCTTCTGCTCGCAATTCTCCTCTTCATGTTGTGTCATAACCTGTTACAATGGTTTCCTACTGCCTGATCATTCCATCATCAAGGAGTGTTCGTCTGTTTTTTCTCTAAATGACCACCTAGTCATCTAAGCTGGAGGTCAAAAATGAAACCCTCTGGCCTGTTCAAGGTCTGTATCTTCAGCATCTCTGGCAACAGAGGTTTAATCTAACAACATCCTCTCTCGAAGTTCTCATTCGTGCCACCAACTACGTCAGAGGGGAGTAAGAAAGTTTGACTTTCATCACTGGTTCTTAAAGAGTGGATCTCTGGTCCATATCTCCCAATGCTGCTTAGCCCAGGAAATGAAAAGACAGCTGACAAACACACAAGTAACATTAACAAAAGAACAAACCCCAAACCTTAAATGCATTACTGGGATTGCTGGAATGGGCCAAGGCATACCATGGAGCATTACTGTCAACTGGAGGGTGCCTACGTTTTGGAAAGGAGTTGCCTTTGACACTGTCTGGCCAACTTGGCAGGACCCAACGGTGACAGCTGAGGACCTTGGACCAAGCATCCTAGCCTTCTCACCAATCAGCTAGTGTGACGTTGCCACAACAGCAGCCTGCATCACGTACAGCCACCTGCCAACAGAGGTGGGCTGCTGAGAAAGAGGCTTTGGTGGAACAAACTGGCCTAGAATTTGGCATAATACTTGGCCTGTAAATCTGTTATCCCAACCAAAACACACCACTTGACGCCAAATATTTTGCCATTGGGTAGTTCCACGATAACCACTTTTCTATTTTACCAAGCTATTTTTCCTACCATTGAAATGTTGTTCCGAGTCATAAGAAACAGGCTGGAAGGAGAGGCCAGTGTTGGCCATGAACACCGTCTTGATCTATCTTCCAAGGAGGAAAGCTCGTTCCAACTGTGTGTCAAACATCATGACATCCCATAAAGGAGACCTAGGGTGGTCTGGGTCTCACACAGCTGCAGTTCAACAACGTCTCCAGAATACACCAGCTCCTGCTGCCTCAGGGAAGGGCTGTGTGTGATAATGTTTTAACACTCACATCAATTCAATGATGTGCCTCAGTGGTTCACGTCACTTCAAGCAGTGTGAGCTGCTGTCAGGAGGAGGTTGCATGGAAAATGCCACAACTCAGCTTGATTAAATTATTTGGAGCATACAAAAGAGAAAAATCAAGAGGTGGGAAATGAGCATAAAATTAGGCTAGAACTGTGGAAAGATGCCTTGGTATAGTCAAGGTGGGTGGTTTGGTCCAGTAAAATGACTGCACCATCACACAAGCAACATTTTCTCTTTTATTTAAGTGTTTCTGAAGCATTTGTTATGATGGGCACTATGCTATTAGTGTTTTCTTTCTACTTAAAGAAAAACCACCTACATAAAACAAAAACAAAATGACACCAACAACTCGGACAGTTTAAACAAAACCCTATAACCAGCTGAATGATCTGTAGAAATCCAGTTGTGGAAACCGGTAGGTATGTGCAAAAGAGAGGAGAGGCCACTATTCCAAGGGGTCGCCTACAGTGTGGAAGAAGAAAACCCTGATCAAACAGTATTTCTCAATGACCTTAAGATCCTAGGGGACGTGGGAAAGGAGAGTAGTGTTCTTGCAGGAGGGAGAATGCTCCTGAGCTTAACTGCAGTACTGGAACTTTAAAGGAGCCGTCCACACTTCGGGAAAACCCCCACCACGTTTCCCAGATAAAATCACCAGTGCCTGTAAGAGCAGCTGCTGGAATCGGGGAGTGCACCATCCACCCCTGTGAGCAGCAGGACAGTGGGGTGGAGGCACAGCCCTGGCAGGAAGCGTGACACCCGAGAAAGAGGCTCTGTGCCGACCACCAGCCCTTTCCAGCCCAAAGGTTTGGTACATCTTTGTTTTCCCCTGGGGGAGGAGGAGGTGAGGGTGAAGTCGGAGAACAGTCTGGAGAGAGAGAAGGGGACTTTTGTCCTCCGTACATTTTACGTGGGGTTGGCTGTTGGGTCAGGAGCCTCTGCATCCTCGAGCAGAAGGCCTGGCAGACCGAGCTCTCAAAGAGCTGACGCTGCTGCCCGGCTGATGTGAACCTGCCCGGGCCAGGCCTGGGCCAGGGCTGCAAGGGGAGTGGCCAAAGGGAGCAAACCTAATACCGCACCCTTCCAGGTGGGCCTCTAACCGAGACTGCCCCCGGGCACTTCCTGCCCTCAGAACCCGGGAAACCACTGCTCTTCCAGTGATGGAATTTGTTAGTCACTCAATCTGCACAAAGTAGTTTGTTTCTGAGACAACCAGCCTGGCCGCCCCTCGGCCTCCTGCTGTGCTGGGTGCACTCCCCACCTCACAGCAGGCAGGGGCAGCCGGGAGGAAATCCTAATACCTCACAGCCTCATAGGAAGCAAGGTGGGAGAAGAACAAAAGAAATGCAAAACAGACATCTCAAAGGCAGGCTGTCTGAAAGGAGCGGAGAGTGAGTGCGTGTTGCTCCGACCTGGAATCCAGCGTGGCCTCTCCCTGCGTCATGTGGTGTGTGCGGCCTGTGGTGTGGATGAGGTTCCCAGTATCAACGGCATGTTGTCAGGTGCTGAGAAATGTGAGATGTATTCTTTTTTATATATACACATATAAAAAATAAGAGTGAGGTAGATAAATGTTGGGGGAAAAAACAACACAAAAAACCAAAAACTGTCCCGTCTTACACACACACACACACACACAAAAACCCTTTTCTCAGTATTTAAATTCATAATGGGGCTTCTCTACAGTGATTGAAACTGGTATCACAAAATAAATTAAAACTCCTACGTATAATACCTTCTTAATTAACTTTTTTCTTTTTTCATTTTTTTTTAAAGGGAAAAACTATGGGACAGAGGCTAGAGAAATTCATGGGACTCCAACTACTGACAAGCAAAAAAGCACTACAAACTTCCTTTCTTGTGTTTAATCTCCAGTCACAACTAGCAAGCCTCATATTTTAGCTTTGTTCTTACTCAGAATTTAAACATTTCCATCCCAGAAGCAACTCTTGTGCTGTCATCACTCTGGTGAGAAGTGCTAAAAACTAAACAAAACAAGACCCCTGGGCCCAAGGGCTTGGACGCCTGGCCAAGGAAAAGCGCGGCAGCGCCAGGGCTCTGGTCCTCTGGGAGTGAGCATGGGGCTCCTCGGCCACTTGGGTGCCCATACTGCCCCGACCTGGTCCTGGGGCCAGTAGACCTGGTGGTGGGCTTGCCACCACCACGAGGATGCTGCCCCTGTGCCCCATCCCTGCCAGTGCCAAGGAGGACCCTGGGGATTTTCAGGTTCTAAAGACAGGTAGGTCGGTCTGGAGGGTGGTGGCGGAAGGCCACAGAGGGGTCTGCTGGACCACACTCTGCTGCACCCTTGGACTCAGCAGCTGTTTTTCATGGGATGGAAGGATTAAATATCCATAAAAAAAAAAAAGTAATCCAAATGCCTAGTGTCTGCAGTTAAAACTGCTGTTGTACCCAAGAATTAAAAAAATAGATGTGTGTCACAACCAAAACAAAGGCAAGGGAAAGAGAAGGTGAGACTTTTCAACAATGGTGACTATCAACACTGAACAAGGATGTGCGAAATATTTAACCTTTGTTTTCTGACCTGAGTTTGTATCATGTCTTGCACTGTAACAGACTCAAATGCTGTGTGAGAGCAGGCTGAGAAAAGAGGGGTGCGCGGCACCCCAGGACTGTGGCCCCGGGGGCGGCACCGGGCCTTCTTTCTGCCTCCTTCCTTTACCAGCCTCGTGCCCACAGAGCCTATGGGTTAGAACAGAACTGATGGGGTGGGGCAGCGGGGAGGGGAGGATGTATTTATAAAAAGGCATCAAACAGTTCATGGCAAATTATGTTATATAAGTATCAGTTACTGGGAAAAGAGGAAGAAAGTCACGCACTCTAGTACAAAGCATAAGAAGTTTCTTGGAGTGAGCAGAGAGGGAAGAAGGGTAGACCTGAAGATTTTCATAGATTAAATCCACAAAGATAAAGAACAAAAAAAATAGCAGCTTTTTTTTTCTGTACAGACGTATAGATGAATATCTGAACCGTAAAAAAGTTATAAAAGTGACATTAAAGACGATGTGTATGCAAATGTTTCATGGTCTAACATAGAACTGTAAGACCCATGAAGAAGTCCTAGTAACAGAGAAAATGTCAACAAAGCTTAGAATGCTTGAATCCATTTACTGCTTTTCTTCTTACTGTTGTTGTGGTGTTTGAATTTCTTTCCTTGCAAACCTGCATAAACAGTTGGGCTGAGTCCCTGGAAACCCCTTCCCATCTGTGTCCTTGGGGGCCGGGAGGGAAGCTGGGGCAGGGACAGGAGACTGGCACGTGGACGACCTTTACTCAGAGCCTGTCTTCCAGGCTCTCGACAGGGCCTATTTTCTCCAAAATTCCTGGGGGCTAGAAGGTGGGGGTGGGGAGGTGGCGCAGGGAAGCCAGTTCGGCTTCTCCCCATCTTCACTGAGAGAAAGTCCCATTCTGTCCAGTTCCCCCAAACCATAACCTAGTCAGAAGCAATCAGACCTGTGTGAATGTAAGACTTGAAAAGAACACCAGGGGATGATCAGATGGAGTGCATCACCAGCGTGGCTCTTAAACGGAGGGCCCAGATACCATGCTCGCCCCATGCCTCTGGAAACAAGAAAACAAGTGCAGGGGTTGTGAGGGAGAAAGTTCAGGGTTTTGGCAGAATTTGGCAGCATTAAAATGGTAACAACCTTGGATGAATGATGGCCTTTTTTAAATTTCATACGTCCCTAAGGTTAAAGATATAGTTAAAAAATTCCATCTCAATGTGTTTTTTATAAAGACCTACGGTGACAGGCAGGTGTATACAGGGGCAATGTGGGGCCACAGGGAGGGACACCATTTCCTCAATGTGATAAAAAGGGTGTCCTGGCTGGGCTGGTGGCAGATGTTTTTCCATTATGAAGCAGAAGGAAAGAGAAAGGTATGAGAGCGAGAGAGTGACAATGAGAAAGAGACATGAGAGAGAGAGACAAGGGTGAGAGCGAGATGAGAGAAGAGACAAGGAAAGAGAGTGAGGAGACTCAATTCTCAAGTGTTCTGTTGCTATTAAGTGTTGTCATTAAGGTTCTTAAAGGCCCATGTCAGTTAAGGGTTTGGGTTGGGAAATAAAAAGCTGCTTGCATATTGAAAAAAGGAACATCCCAAATGTGTTTACTGCAGAGAAGCCGTCTCCCGTGGGCAGCAATGGCAGTTCTGAAGATCCACTGAGGTACAGGAGGCTGTGAATAGATTGTTAAAACTCTCTCCCCCCACCCGCTGCCGAGCGTGCACACGTTACTGTCTGCACGGGATTCGGGATCCAAGGATCAGCAGGTCGAAGACTGGGGCAGAGGCAAGGCTCTCTCGTTCTTGCGTCCCCCGTTCATGTGCGCGTAAGGCTGTCTTTCATCGAAGCTGGCTCGGAGAACCAGCACGCCAGGGCCTGGGCCATTCTCAGCCTTGTGTCCTGAGTGTCTGTCTGGCAGCGGCAGGGAGGATGAGGAGGCGGAGGGGTCCAGGGGGACACTCTCCATGTTCTCCGGCTCCAGGTCCAGCTCCTCTGGCTCTGGCGGCTTGTTCTCCTCACTGTAGTAGAAGGAGACCTCCCGAAAGCCAGACTCCATCTCATCCTTGATGCTGCTGATGATCTCCAGGAAGGAAGGCCTCATCTTGGGGTTGTACTGCCAGCACATGCGCATCAGCTCAAACCTGAGGTGAAGACAGACAGAGGATGGGTCCCACCTGGAAAGGTGTACGTGGCCAAGCAGTCTCCAGGGGCCACTTGCTGTGGTTTCCCCACCTACTGTGCAAACAGTGAGAGCACTGAAAACAGTTCTGCTGCTTCTCTGAGGCTCTGGCTTTCCATCTTGATAGCCCAAGCAGCCTTCAGCTTCTCCTGACTTAACGTTCTACCACTGGATTCACTTCACCCAGAACCCAGGACCCGAGACCCTCCACAGGGCAAAACCCAAACTCTCATTTCCTCAGGACAAATCTACACTCACACAGAGCCTGTTATCACAGGGAGCTAAAAAAACAACAACAAACCCAGCTTTCTATCTGAAGCATCTCTTGCAGCCACTGATTAAACATTATTTCCAGAATTAGAATGCAGGAAACCTCCACTTTCTCAACTAATAAGGGTGAGGAGTGATCACAGCTTTCCCGACAGTGATCTCTCCTTTAACTCCACCTATGTTATTTCTAAGCTTCCCCTTGGTGGCAGGGGACCACTGGCAGAGGACTTGAGGAATAGGCAGTGTGAGGCAGCACGGTTGCCAGACAGGAGGAGTGCCCATTCCCAGTCTGCCGGCTCCGTCTAGCGCTGGGGTGAAGGCTGCTTGCTGCGTGCCCCCGCGATGGCAGAGCCCGGCCTCTGATGCAGGCTGTGCTGAACTGAACAAGAGTCCCAGTGAAGACCTGAAGCCAGATCCCAACAAGCCGGTGAGGGAGAGCCCTGTGCAAGAGGCTCTGCACAAGCAGGGGACAGGCAGAGAACACAGTGTGGAGCCCGTGCTGCGCCTGGGTCTCACCAGCTGGGCCCCGATGGCTCTTGGGCTGCAAACTTCTGTGAGGCCCTCAGAGTCCCGTGGGCCACCAGGAGTCTTCCTGGCAATGGGACTGAGCCCCCGCAGAGAGCAGGAGACCACACACGGAAGAAGAAAGGAGGAATGGTGTTGCTGGTGCAGCCAGCTGTCCCAACCCAGGAAAGGCCTAGGCTTTGTCAAGGGTTCAGAACGGCTGCGGGAGGAGGCGATGCTTCTTATTAACCCAGAATGTAGAGAGATCTAGCTAAGTTGACCTTTGAAGCAAAAAGGAGGGTGAATGAGCCAACACCCAGGCCAGCCACAGAGCACAGAGGCGGCCACGGTTCCAAGAAGGGATCGGCCAGTGGCCCTTTCTCACATGAACTTGAAACCAAAGTGCCTTCCTTCTACTTCTGTTCTTGCTGGAAAATTCTATTCTCTGTTTTAAAACTTCTAGCGAAAGAGATGCTTTTCAATAAAAATGGCCCAATGGAACTCCCCGTATCTAGGAAGCTCAAAGCACCCCAAATTGGCTTCCAGCCTTCTGTCAGGCTGACCACTTGACCCACAGACCATCTGCTTATATCTGGCCCCAGGGCAAGTTCTAGGGGTAGACGCCTGTGGGGCATGGAAACTGGCCAGCAAAGAGAAAGCTCCTATGCCAACTGTCCAGCTACCTTGAAAGAAATGGGGAAAAGATGTCTGGTCAAGTCAGATGGAAGTGGATGTGGCCTTGAGGGAGGGTGGGAATGGGAGAGAGGCTTGCTTGCTGTCTGTTCTGCTGCCTGTTTCTGTAAATCAAGTTTTATTGGCGCAGAGCCACGCCCATTTGTTTACAGATGGTGGCTGCTTTCAGGCTACAACTGCGAGTGGAGTAGTTGGAACAGAGACCTTTTGGACTACAAGCCCAAAATATTTACTGTGTGGCCCCTGACAGAAAAGTTTGCCACTCCTGTTCTAGCGGAAAAAGAATTAGACAAAACACGAAGACTGACTAGTTTTTTCCCTTCCCAACAAAACCACCTCTGTCTAGGCCACAGCAATAACCACATGCAGGGCTGACGGTCCGTGGGCGCTCTCGGTGGTACACGCTGGGCATCAGGCAGTAGGGGTTAGTGTGTGAACTGCTCTACTCCCCACGAGTCTGGGAGGTAGGGGTGTTATACATATCCCCATTTTGTAGATGAGGAAGCAGAAATACCAAGAGATTAAACAATTTGTCTGAGGTCCGCAAACTAGTGAGGGTGCAGCTGGGATGGAGTGCTCTGTGAAGCAGTATGGCAGCACTTTGAAGGCCACCTACCTCCGAAAAAGGAATTTTCTCTCAACCTAAACGAGAGAAACCATGGTCCCGCCAGTAGACCTTCCCTCCCCTGGTTGTCCCCCGACAGTCACAGGTGTTGTAGGTGGTTTGCAGTGATAAACTGGCAGCTCCTCCTTGGATCAGATGGCAAACAAGCCTCCTTCCTATACCCCCCATCACTTCCTATGAAAAAGGACCCCCCAAAAAGAGTAAACAAAAAAGGGCCATAACTACATGAAATCCCTCTCTATGGCTCAGCTGCGATTCCCTCTCTGGCTGACTGAATTATCCCTGAATAGAAGCGCAGCCAGGGCCAAGAACATGTGACGTGTCCTGGCTCTGTGCCCTGTGGCCCGGGGCTGAGGAGGTGCCACCAGCAGGGGAGTGATGCCAGTGACATCAGCACAAACAAGCCACGTGACACTGCTTTTAAACCATTCCAAAGTCACAGCCCTTCCAGTGCTGCCCATAAAAGGAAGTCTTTTCTACTCTGTGGGATTCAAGACCTTGTTTACACTATGTCCACAAGAAAACTTTCCAGTAGACTCTAGAAGGATTTATGAGCTGATAAAACTCCTCTTTATAAAGCACATTTTTTACAACTAGTCAGCTCTGGTGACCTGGAGCAGTCCTTGACTGAGTACCCCCCCAATCCAACACTGTGGTGGGGTGCATGCACACAGCCTTCACCTGGAGTAAGAGCACATGGAGCTGCTGCGCTGCTGTGAAGCAGCCTAACAGACATGTGTGACCTAGAGGCTGGTGATGGTCGGGGGTGTGAGGAAAGAGGGCCAACTGTACTGTCCACTCCATGCTGCACACTATGGCACCTCCCTACTCCTCCCCACCTCGGCCTGCTGTGTGCAGGCAGGTTGTGATCACACGCCAAGATGCGCACGCAGCCCAGCACCCGAGCATGAGCACAGCCTCAGTCCAAGGGATGAGGGTCACAACAAAGAGACTGGATTCCAGAGAGGACCTGCAGGGCTCAGTGCGGCCCTCCCCCACGTCCTCCCAGCAGCCCTGAACACCCAGGATTGTCTCTGAACCACTTCTCAGCCAGGATGGCGGTGGGACAGTGGGGCCTGACTGACCCCTCACCCAGGCTACTCTGACCTCGGGCAGAGCTCAGACACAGGGCCTGTGCACCACAGGAAAGCCCATTGCAAGGCTAACTGGGCAGGAGTGGCCATTCCTGACTGTCTGGATCCTCCTCAAGCACTCGGTTCCCACAAAACCAGCACAGGATTCCCAGCCATGTGGGGGTTTAGTCAGCAACAGGAAAAACCATGTAAAACTGCAAAAGCAACCAGAGTCTACTGAGTTTTAGACCCATCTATGAATTGATGACTCTCTGGGCTAAAAAGTTCAAATTCTCTCCTGAACGCTGCACACTGAAGACTTCCCTGGCAAGGGTCCTCACACGTGATGTGCAAGTGTTACCTGCAGAGAATATGGCTTCTTGGCCCGAGATTTATGGCTCAGTGGACATCTGTGCTCTAGCGCTTCTCCTGCAGCATTAGAATTCAGTCCTTCCAGTCAACAGACTTCGTGAAAGCTGGGACCACTCCTTACAGCCCCGTCTCTGGGACATCAGCAGTCAGCAAGCACCCAGAGGGGCTCAAGGACATTTGTGGTGTAAGTATGGAGACCCAAGTGTAAGAGAAGGTGAAGAAGGGGCTTTGTCGTCTATTTAAAGTACACATCCACCAGCAAACCACAAGCCAAATCTGATCTCATGCCACTTGCCAAATTAATTCAGACTGAGTCTCGATGTTGAGATGCACAAGCCCGGACACTCTGTGCTTGGACCATGTAGCTTTTCCTCTATGGCTGAGCACTCCGTGCTACTGAGAGGATGGGGATTACTGGCTGCTTCGGAGGAGCCTGCTCACCTGCTTGCAGGCATCGCCAAATAGCTGAAGTGTCTTCCTGATGCTGAGTTGAAGTCCCCCAGCAGCCCTGCACGCCCCACCCAGACGTGACCCTGTGGGTGCCCATTCAGACCTCTGGAACAACACAACCGAAGTGGTTTCTCTCCCACACGGAGGCCCAGCAGCGCTTTCAGGCAACTCTCAAGGGCTCAGTGACTTTCTCCTCCTCTGGGAGAAACAAGAGTCCATTCTTTCATCTCCTGTAACATAAGAACGCCTCTTCCAGAACCCTTCTTCTTACCTAAGCTGTTCATCAGTAAATCCACAAGGACAACACAGACACTCCCTATGAAACCAACTTGCCTCCTTTCATTTTGTTCTTTCTGAGAACAGAGAACAATTTGCCAAGGGGGTTCTGGATGGCAAAGCAGAAATGCCACCTGAATTAAACATTTAATATCCAAGAGTAACCTTTCCATGTAAGTTTCCTTGTCACTCTATGCTGGGAACAGGAAGTACACTGCCTTTCCCATGGCAGGTGGGCTGCTTCCCAGGCATATTAAATTAATATTAAAACTCCAGTCACCTGGAGGTGGATCAACTTTAAGAATCCCATAAGTTTCTCAGAGACAAACGTTTGCCTGAGTTGAAGAGAAAACTCAGAAACAATACCTCTCCTCCCACTACCCCCAAACTACACGAACAAAACTCACACCTGTTTTCTCGGACTGTTGCTAAGCTTGCTAAGACAACACCGATTCTAGTATTAGCCTCTCTTCTGGCACCACACACTCTTATGCAAATTCAGTGGGCATCACTCCTCAGACTCCATTACTTATATTTTTGCTCTGAAGGAAGATTTTTCTTATAATAGGCTGACAAGAATACAGTGACCACACTGTTCAAAGTGGAAGGAAAGTGGGAGTCATCGGGGTGTGGCAGCCAGCCTCCAAGACCCCAGGGGGCCTCACCTGGTATTCACAGCCCACGTAATCTCCTCCCACATCAAATAGGGCTGCCCGTGTAACTCATAGGAGATGGTGGAAACTGTGGACTTCCAAGGCTCCATCTAGGCTAGGCTTCTACTCCACTGCGGGATCATTTGCTCCTGGGCAGTGCAGGCAAGCTATGGGCTTGTGGGCCAAACCTGGCCTGCTCTCTGATTTTGTAAGGCTATGAGCTAAGGATGGTTTTTATATTTATAAATCGTTGAAAAAAAAATCGAAATAATATTTTGTGACAACATGAAAATTACGTGAAATTCAAATTTCAGTGTTGAAAAATAAAGTTTTATTGGAGCACAGCCATGCTCATTCATGTGATGTCTATGGCTGCCTTCACACTGCAACAGCAGAGCTGAGTAGCTGCAATTGCGATCGTATGGGCCCACGGAGCTGAAAATATTTACTATCTGTCTTTTTAGAGAAAAAGTTTGCTGAGCCCTTCTCTAGGAGAAGTCAGCTGCATGGGATGAGGACACTCAAGCAGTGTCATGGAGAAACTAAGGCCTCACATGGCGCTCTGCGACGTGAGTGCTCCACCTTGGAAGTGGATCCTAGCCCCAAGTCAAGCCTTCAGAAGACTGCAGCCCTGGCTGCCAGCTAGACTGCAACCTCAGACCCAGAGCCAGAGTCATCCAGCTAAGCTGCTCCTGGATTCCTGACCCTTCAGAAACTCTGAGAGATAATAAATGCTTATTGTTGTTTTAAACTATTAGGTTTGGGTAATGTTATACTGCAATAATGGAAAAAAAAAAAACAAAAACTAATACCGGTGGGAAGAGGAAGAATTTCCATGTTGGGCAAGAAAAAGCACTAAGTGGCCTTTTGAGTCTCTTCCAATTTTGGGTCCTGAAGTCTAAAGAGGTTGTATTGGGAAGTTTCTCAATGAGGGATCCAGGAAACCCAGTGCCTCCCATATGCATTGCCCTCTGAGAAGTAGAGCCTTCTGTCAGTGGACACGTGCAGGTTTCCTAGTCCAGGCCTATGCTCAGGTGATCAATGAGTCCCCTCACCCCCAGCACACACACACACACGCTGACACAAGGACGTTGCCTACTCTATGGCAGTCTCTGGCCCTCTTTCTTAATTCCATGCAAGCTGTCCATGGGATAGAACAGGTTTTGGCTGAACAAACATTCAGGAGCAGCAGTATAAAGAGTATAAAGCCCAGCTAATGGACTCTTGAAGCACAGGGGTGCTGCACCAAGTCCCCCAGAACCCATGGGCCCTTCAGCAGCACAGTCAGAGGCAGAGGAAGGCCCACCACCTCTACATGGAGCTTACGGATTCAGTCTTGGTAGCAACACTCAAAGTGCTTTAGAAAAAAACAAAACCTTGGTTTGTTGATAGGACAGTGGTTTATGCTTCCCAGGCTGTGGTAGTCAGATTCTAAGATGGTCCCCAAGATTCCTGCCCTTGGTGTAAACACCCTGTATAATCCCTTCACCTGAGTGTGGGTGGGACTCATGAATATGATGGGATTTCACTCCTTTATTTAGCTTTCTAATCAGTCGACTTTTGAGTTAATCAAAAGGGGGATTATCCTGGGAGGTGTGACTTAATCAGGTAAAAAAAGGTGAAAGCAGCAGAGAGATTCTCTTGCTGGCATTGAAGAAATAAAGTGCTCTGTTGTGAGAAGGTCTATGGAGGGGGGAATGTGGCAAGGACTGGGAGTGGCCTCAGCCTCTAGCCATCCCTGGCTGATAGCCAGCAAGAACAAAGGACCCCAGTCCTACAGCCATAAGGGGCTGAATCCTGCCAACAACCTGAAAGAGCCTGGAAGAGGGGGGTCCATGAGCCTCAGATAATTGCAGCCCCGCTGGCATCTTGATTTCAGCCTCGTGAGACTGAGCAGAGGAGCTAGCACACCTGTGTCTGGATTCCTGACCCATGGAAAAAACTGTGAGAGGCCAAATGAGCAAAGTTTTCATGGCTGTTGGGACCAACTTCCCTGGTACCCACTTGTCACGGTGTCTGACCCATATCCGTAAATCATCCCACCACTATGGGGCCCAGCCTGAGTCAGTGCTCACTCGAGGCTTGGTGCATGGGTGGGTGGCAGATCTGGGAGTCTTCCACATAGACACAGAGACAGCCCAACAATTCCTCTGGGATCCTTTCTGATGTGAAGCTGAACTTGTCGTGAAAAGCACTTCTGGAAAATTCCTGAATTGGTCTTGAGGTACCAGTGGTAGCCTACCTTCTACCTAGTGGGATCTAGAAGAATCTCTGAGCCCTGCCTTAATGTGCATGTCGACAGCAAGCCCACCAATTCTCACCTGTACCTGTCCTTCACCTGACAACCTAACCACATAGTACCTTCACACTCTCCTCTGACTTCTTCCAGGAAAGATGAGGGCCTCAGACCTTCAACAGCTCCAATTTCCACCAACGGAGGGGGCTTCTCCTAAGAATGCTGAGCAGTGAGGCCCAGGAGGCATCACGGACACTTCCCCATTATCTGACAAATCTTAGGAACTCAAAGCTGTATGGTTTTCTTTGAAAAGAAGTGGTGTGAGGAGACAAACTTGCCAGCGCCCAAAGCTGTGTGTGCCCAGGGGTGTGTCTGCAGGGAGGTCAGCTGAACCATGTTCCAAGTCCACACGGGTCACTGGACAAAGCTCCAGAGAGCATGTCACTTACATGGTTTATGAATTACAGAGAAGAATCCTGGGGGACACCACTGTGGTGGCAGTATGCTAGAACTGCCGGTGGGAAGAGGTCTGCGGTTTCCCCTGCACAGTGCATGAAGGAGTCCTGACCATAAAGCTTTGTGTCCACCAGCTGCTCTCTCAGGCCTGCCAAAGGCTGCGGAAAGGCTCGGGAATTTGGCTTAAGAGTAATCAGTGTCATGTTGTCGCCTTTTTTTTTAAAACTTTGCATGGAGAAGGCAAGGAAGGAGTGTTTTGGTCAAATATTTCACAGAGAGATTTGGCCTGAGAAACCATAGCGCCAACTGCAAATCAGAACTAAAGGATTAAGGAAGATGAGATGGAATTAAGGTACTTGCACAAAGGCACAGGTTCCTTCTGTCAGGAGAAACCTCTTCTAAATGGCTCCTGATTATCACGGTACCCACCGGGCCAGAGAGGCTGGCTCTCAGAACGACTAATCTTATGTGACCCAGGAAAGGAGTTATTGAGACGGGAAATTGCAGGGAGAGCTGCGGGGGCCCAGGAAGTACGTACAACATGTCAGGGCAGTTGTCCGGCTTGTCTAGAAGGCCACCCTCCATGACGAAGCGAAGGACTTGCTCGTTGGACAAGCCCTGGTACGGCTGCTCGGCCAGCGTGGCAATCTCCCAGAGGACGACCCCAAAGGACCTACAGTGAGAAAAGAAATGTGAGGCGCTTGGAAAGGACAGACAGAACCATGCTGCCCTCTCCTTTCCGGCATTTCTCCTCCCGGGCCCTGAAAAACTGCCCTCATTGTGCAACTGAGAGCGTGTCAGACAGTGTGCCAGACACTGGGCTAAGTGTGGAATATCCATCCTCAGTAAATGCAGCCTTGGTGGCCCAGGGGAGGAAGCTCATGTGGAGGGAGTTTTCAGGGTACCTTGAACGGCTAGGAGGCACCAGTCTCTGATTTGAACCCCGGGCAAGCTGAGTTCAGGGCCCAGCTCCAGCCATTCACTTGGCAGGGCAGTGTCTCCCAAACATGCTTTATCCCAAGAATAATAAAATGCAGATCCCCAGGCCCTGCCACAGCAGTGATTTAGTGGCCTCGAATGTGGCCTGGGACAAACAAGCTGTTCAACAAGCTCCCCAGTTTTGGAAACTTCTACCAAAGTGGCTCTCAACACTGGCTGCAGAGTGGAATCTCCTAGCGGGTTTTTAAAAACATCCTGACGCCTGGGCCCCGGAGAGCAGTTCTGATTTCACTGGTCTGGGGCTGGGGCCTGCACCTGGGAGTGTCTAAAGGCTCGTCAGGGATCTTACAGGTCCAGTGGGGCCAGGGAGAAGAGCAGCCCGCCCCCAGGGAGCTGGGGAGCCACCGGCTGGGGAAGGGCTCAGTCTCACAGGTAGGGGCATTGAGGACGGCGGCCCCGGCTGGGGGCGTCATGGACTAGGAAGAATCCTCAAGCACAGAGTTTAGCTGAGGGAAAGGGGGTGGGTGGAGGGATAAGTCAGCAGGCAGAGCAGTGAGCTATTCCGCCACACATGCAGTTTTGCCTGTCGTTTTAGAAGATCCAATTACTGGAAAACAAATTAAAATAGATCATACACATACACAGAAATTTCAGACAGATAAAGGTTAAAAAGGCAATGCTGTAATCTGCAAAATAAAGGTGGCTTCCCAGCACACATTGCTGTCTTTTTTTTTTGTGAGGAAGATCAGCCCTTAGCTAACATCCATGCTAATCCTCCTTTTTTTTGCTGAGGAAGACCTGCTCTGAGCTAACATCTATTGCCGATCCTCCTCCTTTTTTTTTTCTTCCCCAAAGACCCAGTAGATAGTTGTATGTCATAGTTGCACATCCTTCTGCTGCATGTGGGATGCGGCCTCAGCATGGCCAGAGACGCGGTGTGTCGGTGCGCGCCCAGGATCCGAACCCGGCTGCCAGTAGAGGTGCGCGCGCCCTTAAAGCCACGGGGCCGGCCCCCACATTGCTGTCTTTTACAAATTCCCCGCCTTCTATCTGCCTTTACATTCCGTTGGTGTCTGCCCATTTCCGTGGAATGAAGCCGCTGCTCAGCAGCAAGCAGCCCGAGGGGCTTCCCACTGAGGCCAGGGGTGCTGGTGAAGCCCACCAAAAATCCTGGAGCAGGGCCCTTCCCACCGAGAGCTCTTGGGGTCCTGGCCTGGAGCCCAAGGCAGGAGGGCCTCTGACTCCGTATCAGAATGTTTTATTTGCTGCTTCAGCTATTTTCCATGCACAAAAGGGTTTTGTACAAATTGATACTAAGAGTAGATGTTAAACATAAATAGAATCTTAGCAATCAGAGGACTGACCCACCCAAGGCCCTTTTTAACTTCCAGCGACCAAAAAATAGTCTTTATATTGCACAAGAGACCTAGAAAAGCCAAAAACCCAGAGGCCAAAGCGTGGCGTTCAAAGGCCTGGCCAGAGGGCAGTGGGCTTCTTCGTCAGCTTCATGGTGGATCTCTGCATCCTGAAATTGGCCTGGTCACATAAGTAGCATGCCTTGGAGGCTGCAGCTCCCAACCTTCACATCTGAAATGCGGTACAGTACAAGAAATGACAAGCATGCTATTTTTACTGACTGCATGCCTGGCCTGAGAAATAATCTAAAAATGCGGTTCCCTCCCAGGTCCACTTCTCTTGCCCCCAAGCTTTCCCGGGCTGTGTCAAACAGCCAATTCTCACTGGATGGCTCCCACACTGACCCTTTCAGCCCTGACTGCTCTATTTCAAGCTCCCACTTACTTGGCTATCCACAAACTTAACGTGTCTCAAACTGAACTGTCTTACCACCGTGTTTTTCCTCGGGCCTCACTGCAGTTGATGCCCCATCCCACCTGAGCAGTCAACCTAAGGTCGTTCTTCTCTCGGTCTCCTCAGAGTGACACCACAGCTTGCCAAGTCAGGCTTACATTTGTCCAAAGGTCTGGTCCCCTCCTTTTGTCACCCCAGCACTTCCTCAGGGCAGACTGTCCTCCTCGCTTGGCCTACGGCACTCCTCCTTTTTGGCACCAACACCTTACTCAATGCAGCTTGACCCTCTAGCTCACATGAACTTCTTAAAACACAGCTCTAGGTCATTCTCCTGTTCAGAAGGCTTGAAAGTCTTTGCAGAGCCTGCAGAATTAGTCCTAAACCCCTAACACAATATTTGCAGCCTCATTTGATTCTCTTCAACCTAACTCCCTCAAGGAAGTCCCACCAACCTCCATATGCAGCAGGCGCTTCCCTCCGCCATGGCTTCCCCAGCATTTGCACTGCCAGGAATCCGCTTCCTCACTGCTCCACTGATGACATTCCACACATTAGGGTGCCCCCACGACTCCCTGTCTTCTGGGAAGGCTTCCATGATTCCACCCTGTCAGGGTCACTTCTTCTCCACAAGACCTCATCCCTTGAGGACAGAGACTGTGTCTCTAGTCACCCTGTTCTTGCACACACTGAACCCTATGCCTGGGCCATGCACACACGTGTGTCTTCACGATCACACACCCGAGATAACGCAGCAGGTAATAGACCCAGCTCTCTATAAACACCTTCCCCAGAACGACTCTTGTGTAATGTCAGTGTGGTCTGTCACTGAGGGCCACATAGCGTTGGAGTCTGGCTGTCTGTCACAGCTCAATGTGACCAGCTAAGTCCAACTGTTTTTCTGCCCCAAAGTATGGAGGCTAAACCATCTCTACCAAACCCCAACATGCCTCCCTGGATCACTAGCTATCCCAGGAGTCATTTAAACTACAAGATACTGCAGAGCTACAGGGAATGCAGACATCCTTAAACAGACCTCACCTCAAAGATGGAACAACCAAAGCCCAGAGAAGGCCCATGGTTTGAGTCAGAGGCACTGAGAAATATGCAACACCCATGTGTTTTTCACAGCAGGTATTTTACTGTGTGGCATTGGTATTAATGCCTTCATACAAATCGAAGGCTTGAATTTTGTGGACAGATTTCATCTTTAAACATTAGACAAATGCCTTTGTGTGAAGTCTTTTCTAATTATCAGCATTGGGCTTGTTTTCCTCGAGTAAGGGACAACTTGGTGTAAGTCCCACCTCAATGCCAGTGCTGGCTGGGGTCAGCAATCAGCATTCAGTAATTACACTTCTCCCCACCAGGACGGGATCATGTCAGTGTCCCACCCACAGCAAATCGAAACCAACAGAGATATCCAGATTTCCCACTGATATTAATTAGCCACTAAAGAAGCAATAACTCTAAGAGGGTGCAACCAGTCCTAGATATTTGTGGCCATTTGGAAAGCTTCTTAGTCAAAAAATGAAGACTGCTGTAGGGCGATCCTGACTGCCCAGGAAGGGAACACATCTTTAAGCTATGGGTCCCACCTCTCAGTCCTGGGGTCCTCCATGCCTGGAGGGCACACTTGTGTCTTATAACCCAAACAAGAGCCATTTGTTGGGACACAGAGCTACAAGGGAGCTGTGGAAGGAGCAAGCACAGTGCCCAAGGGTCTGGGAATAAAGTCTTGAAGGACAGCAGAAAATCTGGAGATGTTCCAACTAGACAAAAGAGACCACTTCCTGGTGACTCCAAGGCCTGCCTTATCAAAAACAGAGCAGGGTGTGCGATCCTGCTACAGAGAGAAGGGCCAATGGGGTGTCACTGAGAGGCTGACTTAACATGAGAAGGACCTGCAAAGAATAAGGATGTCTTAAGAATCAGGATAGCCTGTCCTTGTGAGGGAGGAATAAGCAGTCTCTGGAAACAGAAGCTCAACAACCAGCTGTCAGAGACACTGTGGATGGGATGGCTTCAGGGCCTGGACCTGACCTCAGAGACACCTTCCCATCCTAAGATTCTGGGGTATCTTCTACAAAGTCAAACTAAAGTCTTTGCATTTCTTTCTAGATTTTAACTATTTAGGAATGATTGTTTTATGCTATTCAATACAATCTAAAATCATTTCCATTCCTGTGAGAGGGACAGCTTCAGTTTAGAGCCTGGACGGCTGAGAAACCTGTATTCTCCAACATCCTGGCCAGCCCCACCTGTGTTATCCTCAAAGGTTGTTTAAAAAAAAAAAAATCTAAAGCACTGTCAGTGCCTGAACATTGAATGGAATGAACACCAAATGCCTACTCTTGTTTATATCTATTTTTTCTCGTTGGTTCATAATGTCTGTGTAGTCAAGTGGGAGGAAATTGGCACTGAACACCCTGTATCCCTTTGTTGTTGCTTGTCGCAATAGTTGCTAACCAGAATTTGGGTAAAATTAGCCTGTGAGTTATTAACAACTCTTGTTTTATTTTCCTACTCTGCCTCTGTTTTCCCTGGCTCTCGTGGTTTTCTATTTTATTGTACTGCAAGCTGACCTCAAAGCTTTTGGAGGCATGGAGCCTAGAATAAACAGATGCACGCATGGACCCAGGCCTGTTCTCTCCCCATCATCTCTGTGTCTAAAAATGGTGTCAAGCACTTTGATTTGACAGTAAAGAGATAACCATCTTGGACAGGGTGATTGCAAAACAGATCCTATACTTGAGCTCAAGAAGCAATCACGCTTTGCTGGGTCATATTCAAATGCTATTTCCAATTTGCACCTGTCTTCAAAATAAGATCCAAGGCCCTTGAACTGTGAAAGGTTCAGGAGGTTAAAAAAAATGATGTCAGTCACTATTTAAATAGCTCCTCTATGTGGTCATCCAGACAGTTGGAGTAAACAACTACCATTTCTGTAACATCAGCAATGGGATCTCCCAAGAGGGCAGCCAAGAAACTAGTTGATGTTCTAGAAGATAGATGTGCCAGGACCTTAGCTTGCCAAGAACCTCAGTTGTATTTCAGAACCTGACTGCCTCTCCACGATGTTGCTGAGGAATTGCAATAAACAATACTATTGAGAATCCTCTGCACTCCCTAGCTGATAAGCTTTCTGCCTCCAAGACACTTTTATTATTAAGGGAGACATTTTGCTCTCCATACCATCCCTGGGTCAATAACAATGGGTGTCCATTGAAGAGGACAGAGTAGATGGGACCAACAGGAAAACACATCAAGACCCATAAGCTTTGGGCCTAAATAAAGCAGTGTCTGCAATCTGAAGGTTTAATTAGGTGAGGCAGCCACACACACACACACACACACACACACACACACACACACACACACGCATCATATCTACTTATTGAGAAAGATAAAAAGAGAGAAGGCAGGTAGCGGGAGAAGCAGAGAGAGGTGAAGTTTTCTGGCATGTCCTGACTCCTGGTATTCTGTCTCAAGGGCTGCTAGCCACTTAGTGAGTAGCTAATGATCGAAAAAAGTGTCAGTCCTGCAAATTCTTTAGATCCCACAAATGCCCTCTGTCCTTAGCTAGCCCACAGACAACAGGAACATTTCAGTGATGATGGAGTGTGGCCCACATAACACTTGGCCAAAGCTGGAAATGGGGTAACAAAGGAATAGAAAACAGAAGAAAAACAAAGCCCTCAACACTGAGCCAGTGGGACTGGTGGAGCCTGGAGGGCTCTGGGCTCATGTTACAGGAAAAGCCTTTCATACCAGACGTCAGAGTGAGTGGTGAAGACTCCATCCTTGAGGGACTCGGGAGACATCCAGCGCACAGGCAGCAGCCCCTTCCCTCCTTTCCGGTAATAGTCTGTCTCGTAGATATCTCTCGTCATGCCAAAATCTGTAAGGTGGAGAGAAGGTACGAGAGTTATGCTGTGTGAGCAGCTCTCAGAGGAAACACAGAGACATACCATCACTGCTGGAGGAAGACCCTGTACCCACGTGCAAGGGGGAAACACACTTTAAGGAGGCCAGATGTCTGCGATTTTATAAGGCAGAAACAGTAAGGGATGATTGATGAGTCACATGACAAGCAAATACCAAGAAATCTCTGCTTTTAAATCCATTTATAATTTGATTCTTTTAAAAAGTTAATTCCCTTATTGCATTTAAAACGAGAGGCAGTTTACAAATTATCAAGTCCCACAGTTTATGAAGAAAATATGTTCTGTGTAGAGCAAAGGTCATTTATATGTGGTGTTAAAGTCTGAAGAAATAAACAGGAGTTTGTTGACTCTTATTTACTTGGTAGCACTGCCCCACTGCCAGAGGAAAGAAAACAGTCTCACCGTCTAATAAGGGGAAAAATATTAAGAGTACCAATTCACGATGAAAAAAGTACACAGTAAGATGCCTAAGAGATGCTATTTACTAGGCCCCTGAAGCTATTACTCAATAATGTTTTTCAACATAATACTCCCACTCGTTTTTGAAAATATCTTCCATTTTCCAAGTCTCTAGAAGATGTCACATAATTATGTTTGATGGCAGGCTTGCTTTATAATCCTAAATTATTGCTTCTTTGTCAGATTTTGATTTTCCACTCCATCATGCAAACTTTTCTTACAGGGACTCTTCTGTTCTCCTTCCCAGGAGAAAGGGCTGCTCTCTTCTTTAAAATGCTCATTCATGTCTCTAACTCTGCCACAAAGAGGTAAGGTTACAAAGCAGACAGAGAGAACAAAGTTCCTTGGACGTTAACCAACATAATTTACTTATACTATGCAAAGGGCCATCAAATTGCCTCTGGTAAAATTATGTTTGTAATCCGTGAGACACTGGGTATTGGAAAAACACTTCTGAACCCTAGTGAAGAATAAAAATGAAGTGGTAAAATCTTATCTCTGAATTAATCCAGTGACATGCAAATTAGAGGATCTGCTTTTACTTGCACAAAAATGAAAAAAAGAAATCCCAGAAAAAGAACACAAACTATTTCTTCCTTAACACAAAAGAAAAATCTCAGATTTTAGGAAGAAAAACCACAAGTACAAAGAAAATATTATAAATATGGCACATGGTTAAACAGCAAATATAGTCCTTGCTGATTTGGGCTTTAAATGGCAAGTGGCACAAAAACAGCTCTGCACTGTGATGTGAGGCAGGGAGGAAAGTAGCATGAACCTGCCTCGTGCCAGAAGTGGGATGGGACGCAGGATGCTGATGACCACAGGAACTAACATTTACTGAGGACCTGCCCCACGCCAGGCATGTGCTTGGTGCTTTCTTGCATTGAGTCCTTCCCACCATCTCATGGGTCTGTTATACTATCACCTCCATTTCAGAGGTGAAGAAATTGAGGCTCCCAGAACTTGAGGCACTTGCCCCAAGTCTCTCTGTTAGTGGCAGAACCCAGATTTAAGCTCAGGCCTGCCCAGCTCCCCAGTGCTGGGGAAGGGGAACTGGCTGGCATCCCCGGGGGAACAACTGGAGTCCCCATGGAGAAGTGAGGGGAATGGGAAAGGAAGGGAAGAGGAAGTGAGCAAGGTGCGCAAAGGAAGCCCAGATGTCGCTGGAGGGGCTCTTCCCTGGGAGCCCTGGGGCAGGAGAGCCTCTAGGGCTTCAAGGGGCACCAAACATGTGGATGCCTCAAAGGGCCAAATCCAGGGACACACTGCTGGCTCCTGAATGAGTAACTAATGACTGAGGGATGTTTGCTTTATGACACGGCTCCAGTCATCACCTCTGGCTCCTCCAAATGAAAAATAAAGACACTCACCCCTAATTTGGAAACCATTCTAGCGAGGATACTCATTGTTCACTAAAGGGCCAAAACATTTCATTCAAAATCATTGCCAAAGAAAACAAAATATTGCTCAAGGAAGATGACCATTTCCAGAACAGACAGTTCAAGAACTAGACAAAAAGGTTAATTTAAACAGTTTTTGGATGTCAAGCCTCCCTTGCAGTTTCTCAGGATAAATATTTGGTATTTTTCTGCGTCCTCACCATCTCACAGTGGGAAGATAAGGGTCCTGGTAAGAACAGCTGGTTACCTGAGCAGCCCTGAGATTGCATATGTTTTTATCAGGCCGATCTAAAGACCAAAGCGAAAACCAAACCTAAAGGCTGAAATGAATTGTTAACCAGTGATCTGAAATGCAAGCCAACCCCTTTTGTTGGTGTTCCAGTGGGTAGTGGCAACAAGGGGTCTAACCAGCAGGTCAGTCAGCTAAGTGAGTGTTATAACAGAGGGGTCAAGAGCTGACAGGTTGACCAGCCTGGGTGTGAACCCTAGTAAGCCGCGATCTTCCCTCACCTGAGGGATTACCAGGTCCCTGTCACCACTCCTGCTCTGTGCAGCGGCTTTACGATTAGGGGACTTCACTTCTTAGAAACTCCATGGATCCCTGGGGGGGACAACACTCCTTGTAAGCTAGGAAAATTGGAGGTAGTAGTTTGGACGGCAACTTTTATTCCCAAGTCAAAATCACCTGAGGACATTGTCTCGATTATTTCTGCAACCAATGCTTAGAATTGTTCTGCCAAGAAATGCCTCGAATGCCAGGAGAGGCAACTCAGGGAGTATGGCCTCAACTCATCCTTGCCCACTACGTGGAACATGCCCATGCACTCTCAGGATTGGAGCCAGCCCGGGCAGGTTTGTGACTGACTATCAACTGGAGAGAATCATATTATTCCCAAAAGCAAGACTTTGCACTCAAGGGACGTGCTAGAAAACCTCTCCACAGGCAGGCTAATGCCAACTCGGTCCCTAAAATATGTGCGAGTTTAGTTTTTGCTCAGATCTGGAAAGCTAAGGACACACCTCCAATTTTGACCGTGAAATCTTCGGCCACCATGCAGTTCCGGGCGGCAAGGTCTCTGTGGACGAACTTGTTGGCGTTGAGGTATGCCATGCCATCTGCAATCTCTCCAGCCATCTGGATCATCTTGCTTAGGCTTGGAGGTGCTAGGACTGGATTATTCTGTTGGAGACAAAGAAAAAAAAAAAATCATGTGAGAATTTAGGAATTTTTTCGACCCCACATTCTTTCAGTGTTTGCAAATCCATCTTTGTTCAATCTGAGCACCACAGGTCATTCTGTGAGAAATCAGGACTTGCTCAGAAGGAACCTATTATCATGGAGACCATAGCATCTGCTTTGTGGTCAAGTCATGCGCTTGCGTGCTGACCACATCACACAGAGCCGCAGAGAGAAACATCAATTAGCACAACTTGGGACCAGCATTTTCTATTTTGGGTAGGGCAAAAATTATTTAAAGTGAAACAAGCGATTTTTGACAACAGGAATTCTTGGTTACTCAAATTCCTTTTAGTTTATATGTTCCTTTTATTCCTATAATCAAAGTACAGGTAAAAGGAGGGAGAACATTACAAAGGCCACATGGAAATAAGCAAATGTGTTTCCCAAATGGACGCTGTGCTTTATTTTTCACAAAAGCATTGCTATAAGCCATTTCATCTTTTTCTTTCTCTTTGACTTTCCTCCAAAGTACAAAAATGTCAAGATTAGTTTTTTTCACCTTACAATGTGCATTCCTTGGATTATTTTATTTTGTGTGGGCACTGAGAAAAACAAGCAGTTGACAATTAATTTAAGGCCAGCCGAAGCTTATCTTGGAGGAAGACCAGCATAAAATAGTGACAAGCAACATGGATAAGCATATCCTCTTTGCAGAGGAGGGCAACATACTGGCTTTGGATTGAAGAGCGATACACTCAAATAAGAATAAATCCATTTAGAAAAAAGTTTTATATAAAACAGGTGCCCAAGTCTCTCCATCTTAAAAAAAAGTGCAAAAACTAATAAGCACTCTATAGTTCAGATGCTAACCACCTCTTGCTTAAACTAGTACAATAGATTTTACCTTAGTTTTCCTGACTACAGAGCATCTCTTACAACACTGCAAAGCCGTCTTGTTCTGACAGGTCCCACGGGTCACCTTCCCTGGGGAACTCAAACCCTGTGGGCCTGGGAAGAGCGTGCCTACGCTTTGGGGTCAGACTGTCTGGGCTCCTGCCTGGGCTCTTCCACACGGGGACCAGGGTGAGGTCATTGCTGAGAGGATGACCTGGGATCATGCAAGGAAAGTGCCCACCAGGGCCTGGCCAAGGTCCATGCTTGGTGGATGTTGGCTTCGTTCAGTGAGGTACTAGTTTCTGCTGAAAGCTGGCTTCCAGAAGCAGTATAACAACTCTCCAAGTACTTCTGGGCTGGTTCGCTACACTCGACGTATACCTGAATGCTGAAGAGTCAATCAAGACGTCTCTGGTGATTTAAAATACTTATCACTGAGCTGTCTGGGGAAGTAACACGATGTCCCTGAGGGTAAGCCCAAACCACTACTGTCTTTACATAGGATCCTCGTTCAGACAAGATTTTTTCTCTCAGGACCTAACACTTCCTTTTAACCTTTTCAGGGCTTTGAATGTGCATGGTACACTAGGAAATCTGCAGGTGAAATGTTAAATTTATGCATAATACTGAAGTGTGGAGTATTAAATATAGGTGTTCACTAGAAGTGGTCATTCATAATTAATATGAAAAACAGAATCAATAAAAAGAACGTGATTTTAAACACTGAAAGAGAAAGCTGACATTCAGTCAGTTCATGGTGCTACGCTGCCATTCTTTCAGATACTTTAGAGAGCAGAAATCTTTAATCTGCTTAGAGCTACTTAAGACATGTATACACAAGCACCCACATTTAGCAAGGTAAATGAGCAAATCTTAACTTGGGGGGAAGATGCCAAGCAGAACAGAATGAAACCGCAGGACAAGCATACACGTTTTCATACTTGATATGCGTCAGAAAGAACAAGTTTAAATCTGAGAAATCTAAAAATGAATTTTAGGTCTGAAAAGGACTTCAGTAATCATCTTGTCCAACCCTCTTATTTTACACATGAGGAAACTGAGGCCTGAAGCGGCTGCCTGAGGACTGCAGAGCCAGGACTAAGACTATATGTTCCAAGTTTTGTGCCTAAAATTGAGGATGAAGGGAGTGAGCGTTTCATACTTTTGAGAGGTGCCTTGAATGAATCTGATGAGAAATATACTGCCACGTCTCCAGTCACCTATCTGCTGAAGCTTTTCTCTGTCATGCTGGCTGTGCATTACAAAGTGAGCCAGGAAAAGGCACTAAGATCCGGGGAGCTGGGACCCAGGTCGGTTGGAGGGGAGCAGAGGCGGGTGTACTGCAAACCACCCCGCTCGGGGCCTCGGTCCACACTCGGCCTTGTGGCCCTGACAGAACCCCAAACATCATCTGCTATGAATAAACGAAGCCACATGTGAACAGGTGCTCACAACTAAGATTAAGGAACTACTACTTGGGAGATGATTAAGTTGCAAATTAAAAGAAGAAAAACAAAAGATTAAGCTCAAACAGAAAAGCTACAGAAATTCAAAAGGGTAGAGAAAGGGCAGTATTGTAGGGAATACAAGCAGACACAAAGCTTACTCACATGTAGCAAAGTCAGGGTCAAGGTGAGGACCTGACACACACCGAGGCAGCCAAATGAAAGACAGATGCTGCTGGTATTATTTCTCAATAATTATCTACCAGTTTATTCTTAGACTCACTCACTTAAGTCATGCCTCCATATGTTAAAAAGCCGGCTTGTGGGTTCACGCTACAGAAGGGAGACACCGTGGTGACTAATGAGAAACTGCACAGGACTGCAGCAGGGTTAGAATTGGAAGCTCGGAACACAAATCGATATTTTTTACTAGACAAAGCAGAGATGGTACAGCTGAGGCGCTTATCATTCAGAAGCACAAGCAAGACACTGACTCAGGATCCAGCCTGAAACGTGGATGCAGAGCTTGAGAAGTCGAGCTTCCTCCTCTCAAGGCACAGATGGCTGACGGTGTGCGGGCAGGGCGTGTGTGTGGGGAAGGAGCTTGTGAACAAGTGGACGTCTTGTGCACAGCGCTGGGTGGGAAATCACCCTGGCACAAGAATCAACTCAACCTAAAACTGCACTCTGACAAGCATTTATTGAAAGATCATCTGCCACAAACATGGCCCTGAACTATAGGCTGTGCTGAGGTGAAAAGCTGAACACAGTGGGGTGGATGGGGAATACACTCAGAGAACGAAAGAAGAGTAAGTCGGCGCCTGGAGAGAAGTCAGCGGAGAAGATGGTTACTCCTGGCGGGGGTGGGGGTGGGGGGCAGGAAAGGCTGTTCAGAGAGGAAGCAGCGCTGACAGGGGTCTGTAGGTGGAAATCACGGAGAGAGTGCGGTGGAGGAGGTCACTGGAGGTGGAGGAGATGCAGTAACAAAAGAACGGAGGTGCTTAAGTGAAAGGGTATTTGAGGAACGGCAGGTGCCTCTCACAAAACAGCAAGGTCTCTCACTTGTCAGGGAAATCCTTCATATGAAAGACCTGTCACCCAGCACGCAGCAAGAAACATCCAATGCTGAAAAGTAGACAGATTTGAAGACACAACATCTTCTAGGGGAAGGTTCTAAAGGAAAGAGAACAGATAACATGCAAAGTTGGTTAAAATCAAAACTGACCTCCATTTCTGGCCTCAGAGACCTGAGGTAACTTTTGAGATCCCCACGTGTCATCAACTCCATGATGACAAGCGTCGGCTGGCCCTGGGACACCACACCCAGCAACCGCACCTGGGAGGAATGACAGAGAGAAGGACTCAGAGGGTGAGCGTTGCCCACGACTGTTGCTCCCCCCACCGCTAGGACTGTGAGTGTGGTGCTGGGACCTGCTGGCCAGCAGCAGAGCCCAGATGAGCAGGCCACAGGGGCCCCACTGGCCAGGGTCTGCATCACATCCAGAACCTTCCCATGCACAGGTCTCTACAGGCAACAGTAAGGCAATGGGGGAACTCTATGGAAGACGGGGCAAGACACCAAACCCACAAGCGTGGTCACTGACACCTTCTCCTGTGTCAGATTTTGGCTTTTCAGGGCTTTCTCTTACCACATGGTGACAATTGAACTCCTTCATCACTGAAGCCTCGTTGAGAAATTCAATCCTTTCGCGCATGCTTGCAGCCTCGTTCACTGTTTTAATGGCCACCCTGGTTTCAGGCTCATCTTTGACCACACCTTTGGCGACTCCTTCATATACCATCCCAAATGAGCCCTGCCCCAGCTCTCGGCTCATGGTGATCTTCTCCCGAGCGACCTCCCACTCATCAGGGACGTATACTAGGGAAGAGGAAACCAGAACTGAAGCAGGTATGGCAACGAGCCCCTGTGACAGAACGTGCTTTTAGGGGAAACTCTGGGCCAAAGAACAGAAGACTCCACTTCCTAAAGCGCATGGAGGAGAACATCAGGAGACAGGGACGTGGCTTGTTCTGAAATTTCCCACATGCTATGGATGTCAATAAGGCAACTGTGTGGTCAAATACTGGTATTTCACATCTTCAAGGATTCCTAGATAATTCAAGGATACTAACAACATTTAAGAACCAGAAAGTAGTCCAATTTGAGATGTACTGTAAGTATAAAATTCACACTGGATGTCAAAGACTTAGTACAAAAAATAATGCAAATATTTCAATAATTTTTATACTGATTACACATTAAAATCGATAATACTTGGGATAAATAAAATATATTATTAACATTTATTTCACCTGTTTATTTTTACTTTTTTTTTATGTGGCTATTAGAAAAATTTAAGGTTACACATGGGCCTGGCTTTTTATTTCCACAGGTAGCACTGCCCTAGTCTAGGCAAAGTGTCTTGGCTTCGTAGAAGACCCAGGGACATCTAATGAGGCACAGAAGCAACTGAGCTCTGGCACCAAGCGGCATTCAGTGGTGACCAGCATGGAGGGACAGCCTGGGTCTCCCCAGGCTTTGGCCTGAGCTCCGTGAACTCAGTGCCCCCCCACCACTGGGGTGAGGGGTGGGAAGTGGGGCATGGTAACAACTGAGCCCAAATATGGTTTCCTCTCCAGCCTATGCTTCTGGTCAGATTCAGTCTCATTTAAGAAAATAAATAAGCAAATAATTCTAGGCAGGAAGGAAGGAGAATGAGAGAGGGAAAGGGAGAAAGGAGATAAGAAAGAAAGGAAAACAAAAATCAGAGGATCCCTCCTGCAACTCCGATGGGTAGAATGAAAAGTAAAATAAAATCAACCTGTTCCGTAAGTTCCACAAGAAATTTCAATTAATATCATATCCTTCTAATGCTGTGTGCTTACATCCTTGCCTGAGAGGGGAACCCCCGTCAGACTCCACCGCACACTAACTGGTAGAAAGGAGGGGGTCCTGGCTCAGAAATGCAGAAGGACTGGGAACCTGGCATGGCATCTGTGTTTGCTTTGATGCTTTCAGAAATTAACCTTGGGCCTGCGGCTGGATGTGAGAGAAGAAGTGGGCTGACAACTGTATTCCAATACCCCCAAGGCCCAAGCGATGTCTTAAAAAAAAGATGTCTATAAATTAGGCCCAGGAGATACTACCAATTTACACCTCTGAGGAGTGTCCAATATGTACTATATTAGTCAATCTAGAGTTTTCTTTCATACACATTTTTGTATTTCATAGTACAAATGTGTTTAGGAATTTCACAAATGGAAGTCTACCCTCCATATGGCTTAGACAGTTTATAGCCCTGCAGAAGAGGCTGACGCTTGCTTAGGAGGGTAAGTATGCAAGACAACCCAGTAGATAAGACTTCACAATACCTCTCAGAAAGTATACAGAGACACTGTCTATACCCATTTATCTCTGAAAATCCAGGCTTGCTTTTAATCGGCATTAACTATGTAGCACACCATAAACCAAGGAGTTAAAACCAATCACATTCATTCTTTGGGAGGTCCTGGAAGTCAATGCTTGCAATCCTTTTCTCTAAATTCAACCCAACAGCTCTGACTTTAACCCGCAGTCCTAAGCCCTGGCAGCCAGCAGCAGTTTATGTGCACACTGTTATCAGCACTTCCCTGTAGGGGATTTTCAGTGTACTCTGGAGAATGGTGACATGCAGATTAGCTTTTGGACAAAGAAGTTTTTTAAGCATTTTTGAACTGCAATGTCATTTTGTCGCCCCTTGAGGAAACTAGCTAGAAGGTGCTCGCCAAAAAGCCAAATAAGTTCAAATGAGGTGACAGTGTTCCTACCTGTTGTCCTGAGTGACAATAAGTTTGTTTTTTGTTGTGTTTTTAAGGAAGAATCAAGACATATTATGAAAGCATTCTGGAAAGACACAAAATTTAAATTCAAATCACCATTAGAGCCTGATATTATTGTACTAATGCTCTCTCTAAACTCCTTGGACACTTCAGAGTCAAAGCCACGAATGCCAATCTTCTGTGCTTTATTTCAAAGCAGAGCAGGTTCTCTGGAATAGTCTTATTCCACCATTACAGAGAGGGGATGTGGCCCTGCATTTCCCCTATAAATTCCATTAAGTGTGTGATCACTCCTTACCTTACTTAATTTTTTTTTAAAGCTATTATTTATACAAACAATGCACAAAAATCTTCTGGCTCTTTTTAAAGAAAAAGATCCTCTCCATAAGTAACTACTCTTTTAAGTTTGGTGTGTTTCCTTCCAGAATGTTCTCTATGCCTTATATACATACATACATACATGGGGTATAGGGGGATGTGTGTGTGTATACATATTTAATAGGCATTTAGCCTATTAAAAATACAACTTTGTGAGACCTTTATATAAACAGGAATTATGCCCTTATTCTGCACTTGATTCCCATTCAGAGGAGGCTGATTTTGATTGGCTTTATTGTGAACACAATTAGACATTATTAAAGAAATCATAGTAAAACTCTACACATTTATGTAGTGCTTTTAAATTGTCAAAGTGTTTTCTTATGTTTTCTCATTTGATCAGGATAATCAATTAGGATAATCACGACTCTTTATTTCATATCTCCTGCACATCTACTTTCACTTCTCCTGAAGCAAGAAAGAGGCAAACACTTTTTCTAAACACATCCAACCAATTTCATGCACTTATTTATTCATTTGTCAAATCTGGTCCAGCTCCTCCTGTGGGCCAGCTTCCCTGCCTGCCCCGAGGACAGTCCTTTTCCATGATGACTGAGCCACACTGTCAACAAGATGCCAGGGACTGTGATGTCCTGACTTCTAGACTGCCTAGTTATGTGACCCGGGCAAGTTCCTCCTCTGAACCTCATTTCCTCACTTACAGATAGATGGACACCAGAAAATCCACTTTACAGAGATGGAGGGATCAAATTGGACGGTGTTTGTAAAAGCCCCTGCAAAGTGGTACTAGGTAATGGTACTAGTATCGTTGGACCTGATGACCAATGCCACATTCTGAGTTACTTGTAAAGGTTAGGATTTAAGCACACTAGGAAGAAAAGACAGCAAAAAAGGAAAAAAAAAAAAATACCAACAACAACTGTTGAGTACAACCCAACTTTTTCAGCCATTTAACTAATGGCCCTTGTTAGTTAGTGACCAAAGGGAATGTCATTGGACCATGAGGGTGTCAATCAGATGGCCCAAGTCAGGAGGACCCCAAGATAAAAAAATGCAGAGAAGCTGTAAGTAATCAAACACAATAATAACAATATGAAATTCAAGCTGAACTAGTTTAAAAGGGCTGTTTTGTCAGCTGCAGCATATCCTCTGACTAGATGTCAACAATTAAACAGCTTTTTTCATTCCAGCATAAAATTTCAAGCAATTAAATAAATTCATTACTGTGCTGGCCACATTCATCTCTGAAGCCTGTTTCTTCTTGGGGCATCCTGTACAGTCCCAGAATTTTTGACATATTCAGTGAACTGCTCAAAACTTGGATTAACAAAAAGAAGTGTTGGGCCGGCCCTGTGGCCGAGTGGTTAAAGTTCCACGTGTTCCGCTTTGGCAGCCCGGGTTCACGGGTTCAGGAGAAGGCGTAGACCTGCTCTACTCACCAGCCATGCTGTGGCGGCCACCCACATACAAAATAGAGGAAGACTGGCATAGATGTTAGCTCAGGGCTAATCTTCCTCAAGACAAAAAAAAACAACAACAGGAGGACTGGCAACGGATGCTAGCTCAGGGTGGATCCTCCTCAGCAAAAAAAAAAAAAAAAGTGTTAATGAAGACAGATCTGAGGCAAAACGTACCTCAAAGTAATGCAAACCTCTTCCCCTAAATCAGCAACACTCCTGAAGAATGTAGCTCAGAAGCTTACCATCGGCCGCGCTGAAGTATTCTGGGTTCACAGACGCATACAGCACTCCATTCCCCAGCCTGCTGTTATTTCTGTCAAAAAGGTTAAAGTTTACGTTAAAAAATCCTATCTTCACACACTTCCGTATATACCCATATGTTCGTTACATCAGTTTCGTTTGTTGTGTTTTCATTAAGTATCAGGAGAAAGGCAGTGGGGGAGCTTACTGCCACGATGGCTCTCACCTACGCTCCCCATTTAGGCTGGGAGGCCAGCAGACATTTGCTAACGTGCCTTTTGGCTTCTTCAGTGGCCTCAGATTAGAGCTTTTTAAAAAACATTTGTTTCTTTACTTCACTGGAAATTGAAAGACTTATTTGATCAAGAGCTCAAACATCATGTTTGGAAAAGCTCTGTATAAGCTTTTGTGATGGAGCGACCAGTGAGGGGATGAGCCGTACCATGCAAAAATAACTTTTTGTTGATGTTGACTCATTAGAAAATATTCTCTTTTCCTGTGAAGAACTTTTGATTGGAAAATCACGTTTTCCAATCCATAAAATATTTCCTCAAAATCCTCCAAAAGTTTACCTTAACTCAGGTTCAAATCATCAAACCACTTAGCCACAAAACGTGGTCACTTGCTCACAAAACGGAGTCACTCACCTTTTTCTATGGAAGACGTACAACATTATAACCAACCCTCCTACTATTAACAGGACGGCAACGGGCAGAGCAATGATCAGATGGATGAAATTTTCATACGTCGCTGCAGAAACAAGGGGGAAATGATAAAATTTCACTAGCTGAACAGCTGCTCATTTCATTTTTTAATGAAAAATGGAAGCATGGAGAAAGCTGGAAGTATGAAAAAAAATCCCTGAAAATTCCTTTACTGCCCTATCACAAACTAGGAATTCTGAAGGTAAACAGTATCAGAAATAACAGCAGAAAAACTGAATTACTTGAAAAACGGTAAGTGCAGACCGAGGAGCATACTCATTTTTATTTTTAAAGTACAATGAATTCTGAAATAACAGTTCCAATGATGGGCTCAGTAATCCTTACATGCAGTTTAATGACTATTAATGGAATGCATACATTTACTAAAATAAAATGCATATTCTTATATATATAGTGCTCAAGCTGTACTGACCTTTATCTGTCTTAAGACAGTTAACAGACAATTTAAAAAAACAAAAAATAACTGGATGGCACTCCTTGCCAAAGTTGCTCTGAATTCTTCCCAAACATTAGAGTCTAGTGACAAGTCTGAGACCACAGAGCTCACTGCAGCACCTGCTCATCACTGTCACCAGCATTCATATGACAGATGCCAGGCTGGACACAGGATGCTGATCTACACCCTTGAAAATTCCGCTGGACGCAGGAAATCAATAGGTCCATAAGTAGCATAACAACTAGAAAAGTGGACTGCACATATCGCAAGGATGCAGAGAGGAAGAGAAAGGAGAAAAGGGAGTCAGGGGAAGTTTTCCAAGCGCAGAGGAATGGTTAGAAACAATACTGGAGAGAAGTCAGGGCCTGCTCCCAAGAGGCCTTGTCCAAGCTAAGCAGTTTGAACTTCATTTTGCAGATTAAAAGGAGCCAGTGAGAGCTCTCAAACCCTGCAGTGAACTGATCAGATCTGTGTATGGAGAGATGGCTGTGCCAGAGAACAGCCGGGAAGGGGCTGGCAGCGGGGAGGAGGCACTGCCACGTCTCGCAGAGTGCCAGGGGGTGGGAGGGACCTGGACACACTCTGCATTACCCAGCTCAGACCTCACGAAGAAATCACTGCTTCTTTCCTACAAATCACGAAGACTCACAGAGATGCACTGTCCTCCCCAGGGTCAGGAGGCAGCTGGTAAGCCAGGGCCCTGGGACTGGAACCCAGGCTTCCAGCACCCACAGCTCATACTTTCCCCTGAAGCAAGCACTCTGGAGGCTCTGAGCTGAGACAGTCGTGGTGGCAAAAGAGGCTGGATTCCAGAGATATTTAAGCCGCGGAATCTATGAGACTTGGGTTTGAATGAGAAATGGGTGGCTAGAGAGAAAGAAAGGTGAGGGAGGGCTGTGAGGTTCCTGGCTTGGGTGGTGCAGAGATTATGGGGCCACTGACTGAGCTCAGGAACAAAGGATGGAGAGAGATTTTTTGAGGGTAGCAGCTGTGATTTTGGTTTTGTGCACAAGGAGTTTGAGGTGCCCATGGGACACCAAGTAGACGTGTCTATGCAGAAATGAGGTTGGAACTCATTGGGGACCAAGTTAAATTTATTATAAGTCACCCATCAATGGTTCTTTTGCCACTAAAATCTATTATTATTATTACTCTTCAAGGACTATTAAAGCTATTTTAATTTTTTTAAAGATATTTTTATTAAGTAGCTCTCAAAATGGATGCAACTTCCTGCATTTTGTAGTTCTTGAAAATACTCACAAGTTATCCTTGCCTTTGGGAAGCTGGCAGAGTTTTCTTTTTCTCCCCTTGAGGACTATTTCTTATATTTGTACCACTTATACTACTGGTCAGGTTGTACTGTGTTCTTTCTGAGTTTCACATTTCAACAGGGACATGAAGAAACAGGAACACATCCAGAGAAGAACAAAATGATTAAATGGCTAGAAAATTGGTCGACGAGACTGGGCCACAAGAAAAGGCCAAAAGACGTGAGATTATTTAGTCTGGAGAAGAAAAGTCTGAAGAGTAATTTAATAGTATTCAAGCACACGAAGGGTTCCTAAAAGGAGAGCAGTTACCAGAAAGCTTCCAAAGCTTCCATCTCCTCTGAGGATTAAATAAGAGGAAATGAGACTCTACTGCAGCAGGAGAATCTTGTCTACCAGAAGGAAAAACTTCCCGACAGCAAAGCAGGCAAGCAGATTTAATGTCCTGGTGGTATATGCCAACTTCTGCTGGAGAGATTCCATCAGAGGGGCTCTTCGGTTTTCCATTGGCATCCACACGGTTAAAAACGGGGGAGCAATGGCAGAGAGGAACATGTTGTCTCTGAAGACAAGCCAAGTTCACTGAACCCCAGAAGCCAAGGCTGCTGTTTCAAAGACCACAGCCCGATACCAGATCCCCAAACCTAGGCTCTGTTCCTAAGAGACAGATGTAGAGAGAAGAGGAGAGAAAGCAAGCCACTACTCTGGAGAGGGCTCTAGAAATACTGTGAAGGGTCTAGCACAGGAATGGGTGGCACAGGCTAACCAGTAAGAGTAGTTTAAGTGGACCACATGGAGAATTCAGACTATTTTAGTTGACGGAGTTATCTGCCTAAGCATCTGTTTACTCCTAAAACCTGACCCAGGCACAGTGCCAGGCCTATAAAATGCAGCCTCAAGGTCTGCAACTCTATTCACCCCTATCCTTCTTTTGATATCTGTCACTGTAAGGATTTTCAAATAACCTGCACATCTTTGACTATTAGGCACTAACCAGGTGGACTCCTGGATTGGTTGAATCCTGAATTTAAAAACTCAGACTCCACATCAGGGCAGCAAGGATGTGGACACCAGGAGGGACAAGGGCAGTGGGAACTGTCCACTAGACCCAAAAGTAGCACCACTGAGCAAGGTAGGGCTGTTCTCTCTTGTGGGAGCAGTAAGGAACAGGATTTTGCCAAATTTGATCCCATCATCTGAACATGAAATAATCTAAAAAAAATTGGGCTTCTAATAAGAAATAGTAAAAACTCAATATGGAAATAATAAGGAATATTTATGTCACCAAATACAATACTGAATTTTCTGGGCCAAGCAAGTATAGGGTCCTTGTTGTGATTATACCTTTTACAAAATTCAATTTTAAAATCTGAAATCCTCTCATAGAAGGGCCTTCTAAGAATACCATCTTGTTGATGGTTTGAGCAAAAACTCACTCACAACACAGCCCAGTCTCTGCATGAAACAGTGAGCACTGTGTGCTTTCAATGCATGTTGGTGCTTTACAAGTGCATCTGTATCTTACCAATGGGCAGTGAAGGAGACAATGCCTCAGCCTGAGATGCTGTCATGGAGACTTCTGCCCTGGAGCAGGCTGGACTAGATGGCCCCCAGTTTCCTGTCACCCCTTAGGATTCTAAGTCCTGAATCTGAGCGCTAACCAGCATCCCTGATGAGGCAGGAGGTGGAATGGTCAATTCAGCACTTTGTAAAATGCTTTGGACATAAACCAAGTTGAAAGCAAAGGTCTCTTGCCGCCTCCTCAAAAGAGGGGCTCGGACCCTCTCCCTGCCCATCAGATGAGGCAGGGACGCCAAGCAGAGCAATTCTCCAGCCCAAGCTCCCAGACCAGACGCTGGCAGAAGTATGACCCTTCCGAAAGCTGGCTAACTCTGTTCCAACACAAATCAGAAAATCAGAGAGCCACGATGACCTAGGCTTCCCCAATCCTGGCCCAACCTGCTTTCAGTTTTCCCAGCTACTCCCTCACAAGTCTTACTTTTGGCTGGGACGTAGAAGAACACAGGATCAGTCCACGACCCATTTCCAGAGAGAGAGGTGGCCTGGATCCGGGCTGTATAGTTCCCGGGGTTGAGCCGGTTAAGCTTGGCCCCTCCATACTTCCTGTACTCCTGTCTGGACACACATTCCCGCTGGTCCTGGGGGACATGAAACATATGTGTCAGTTTCCCACAAACACAGGAGAAGTGGGTGACTCCTGCTGCCCCATCTCTCACCTCCCACCTAATGGTGATCCTGATTTACAATAAAAGGGAAGAAACCAAGTCTTAAACAGCAGTCCTCCAAGAACTTGAAGCACACCCAAGTCTTGACCAAACAGTTTTTTTGGTCCAGAAAGATTACGAGTTATTAAGACAAATCTAGTCTATGCTGAAAGATCATTTTCTGCAATTAAATAGTTTCCTGAGGGTGAGAACAAGCGCAGCTCCTCACATATTCCAAGTACTCCTCCAAGAGCGTGGAGCTGGTAGAAAGACCTACATCCTCGCTGACTTACCACCTTATTTGATTGTTTTTAAGTCGTGAGCTAACCAGGAGGTGACTTGTGTTGTACTGTAACATACGCTTTCAACTGTCATGGAAACGCACCCAGACATCGACCATTCCCCCCGTCTTACCTCAATTTGTGATCCATATTTTATTTCATACATTAGAATCAATCCATTGGGATTCTCAGGTTCTGGCCACTTTAAAAAGATGGAGTTTTCAGGCCTCGGCTCCCAGGTCACTGGCCCAGGAATGTCATCTGCTCCTTCTGTGCAACAATTGAAACAAGCGGTAAAGTTGGATTTGAGTCCCCAGGGAGGGATATAAACACTGAGGTAACCTAAGAACACCCTCCCCCAACCCACGCATGCAGGATTGAGGGGACCACACAACTCCTCATAAGCTGGCTGCTCACACACAGCAGAGGTTTTGGAATCAGAGCAATCTAATGGCCTGTAAGTCTCAAGATGCCACAATACCCTCCCTTTCCCATGCCCCGTGCCCCCCAAACCTGCAACAAAAAAGCTTTCTGTCAAGTACAATAGGAAAATCTGGCAACTTAAGTAACTTATTTCTGGTATTCAGCTTCTACCACTTGAAAAAAGAAACTACGTGATGCCATCAAACTCAAGCAGCATGGAAGAGGTGCTGAGTGCGCAGAAGCAGCAGCATCGAGCCTCCAGGCCATGACACAGATCCTTCGCAGTCTGCATCTGCACATGGCAAGTGCAATTTTTACACAGGCGTGAAGGATGGTCCACAGGCCCCAGCTGTGAGGAAGCTGATGCTGAGAGCGAGCTCTCGCTGCCGTCATCAACTACTCCTCCAGCTGCTAGGTGAGGCTGGGGCTCGCTCTCTTGCTTGTGCCTCTTAAAGCAGTAAGCCAAGTGGTGAGCAAAAGCCACTGCAAGGTACAGCTTGGAAAGGCTCTGAGAAATCAGCTGGTCTATGTCTCTCCTGGGAGAGTGAGGAAACTGAGGCCGGGGAGGCTGACAGCTGCCCCGAGACACTCTGCATGTCAGTGCCAGAACTGGCCCCATGAGGCCCCTCTCCCAGACTCCAGTCACTTCCATGCTTTTCTACCACCTGCCGCCTCTGGCTGGAAAGAGAACTGGGCAGTTAACCCATCCTTTGGATGGATGGATGGATGGATGGATGGATGGATGGATGGATGGACGGACGGACGGACGGACGGACGGACGGACGGACGGATGGCTGTCTGAGCGACAGGTGGCTTCTAACTTACAAAGGGAGGGTGAAGACCAAACAAGCAGGACCAAAGGCTACTCCAGGAGTTGACCTTGAGGAGTGATGGTCACTCTGATTCAAGGCAGCTAACTAGGGATTTCACTGAATTTGTGACAACTCAGAAGGGACTAGGCAAATTTACCTATGCACAAATGGGGAAAAAGGGCTGTGGGAATGCACCATGTGAACCAGGTAGAAGGAGGAGAGTTGACCATGAAGCATGCTCTCTGCTCTTGAATAGTTTGTATGGAGATACTGGGATGGGGGTGATGTCACTATGAATGGACTCCATTCTCTGAGCTGCTGGTCTACCATGCTGCCTACAAATGACCACTCATTCTTTAATAAGAAGGACTGAAGCTAAGGGTCACTGCCCTGGATGTCAGACTCCATGTCCATAAAACACAATCTCTTCATTAGGCTGTGAGTCAGTTGGGAGTGGGGCTAGCTGGATCACACCATACCTGCAGGCATGGTTCTTGCAAAAACGAAGTTGGAGGCACTGCAGCCCAGCTTCTCAGCCTCATGGTTACAGCTATGGATGTCAATGCGATACAAAGTGAAAGGCCGGAGGTTAGAAATGACAGTCCTCTCCTTGTTGTCCACTCTGCTCTCAAAGAAAGGGTATTCTGTCTCCAGCTCTTCTGGGTCTGTGACATTGTAGGTGTCTGCCACAGTGGTGTTCCTGCTTCGGCTGGACATGGTGGTATTGGCAACTTGCATGACATCTCTCCGCTTCCTTTCAGGTCTGCAAGGAAGAGAGAAACTTGGCTTATAAGGGCATCTGCCTCTTTTGTCTTTTCTATGACTTAGGTTAGAGTAACAGAAAGAAAAGAAAAATCTTAACTGTGGAATAAAAGGAGCTATTAGGCCCCATTGGATAAGAACTAACCAATAATACAGGGATTTCCTTCTTCATTATTTATTTTGCTTACTCCACTCTGTGAACCTCAGAATTGGCACACAAACTGCCCCCTGGCTCCCAGAGCCGTTACTCGATTATACCGAGGAGTAAACGCACGCCTCGGCCACCCTTGCCTCGGCAGCATCCTGGCTGTTTCATCACAATGTTGGTGCTGTCCAGTCCACAGACCTTATGGTCAAGCATTAAAGGTGACCAAGCTAATGGCCATACTAAGATTGATTAGGGGTGAGGTGAGAGGTGAGGTTTGTGGTGCAGGCCCCAGAGAGATGGGGCAGAGGGGGCTCAAAGGCCTGTGATGGTGGCTTCTTTGATCCCCTCTGACTGTGGGAAAAAAAAGAAAGATGCCAGTAATTGAGCACTTGCTTGGACCCCCAGACCCTTCCCTCTGGGGTTCCTGCTGACCCCCTCCTCCTCCGAGGCCCTAGCATCTGTATTTTTCACACTCCAGGAGTCTTCTCCAGCCTGGCCTCGCCTCCCACTCAGCAGTGACCACCTGCGGCCTCCCTGAAGCCCTACACACGGTAAGGGCAGAGTCACTGTCATGGATTTGAGTACGGCTTGGAACAACAGCTACAAAACAGGACAGCAAAAGAGAATGCAGAAAGTCACTGGGGGGAGAACGTCCACACCCAGAGGGCAGATGAGCTGGTCCAAGAAGCTGGAGGGGGGGACCCTTCCGGAGGCTGCTTCCTGGGTTATGGAAAAAGGGCTTTTTGGCTCCCCCAGAGACCTTAAAAACAGGCTGCTAACATTTACAGAAACCAACAAAACAGAAAATGATAATAAGCATCCAGACAAAGAAACAGGCACCCTCAGGTGAGCCACAGGAAACGGCAGGACCAGGGCACTGTCCGTTCCACACTGAGGCCATCAGCCTGCATCACTCGTTCTATGAATGGGCAAAGGGCAGAGAGCAAACAGAACAAACCTCATCTGGGAAACAAAAGTAAGACACTGAGGAAATGAGAAAGCCCAGAAAATGGAACACTTTTCACTTCTCACGTAGGGGGGAGAGGAGAGATTCACAGGGGGTCAGGACACCCAGGAAGCCATTTGTGGTTCAGCGGACACTCAGCAGGATCCCTGCTGGTCCTTACTCATCCAGAAGTGAAAAACCTAGAAGGCAAAAGCAGGGGGCTTGGGGAAGAGCCTCTGGCTCCCCAGTCTGCCCGGCCCATGGATTCCCCTGTAGAAAACCCCGTTACCACCTTTGTGCAGTGACACACTGGGCCCTGACAAAAACATGGACCATTCAACACCGATATGCTCATTCCACCAGGCAGAGAACCACGGGGTTAGGGTGTGTACTAATGGTCCCACTGCATTTGCTTCCACAACAGTGGGAGAAGAAGGGTTAGGAAATGAGGCTGATAATTCCCCATCCTCATACCCTGCAAACCAACCAACCTTTCTGGAAGGGAAGGACACAAGAAACCACATTTATTGCTAGGGAGACTTTTTTTGACACCTACCAGAATTAATTTCCTTCCTTCTCTTCAAAACCAACACAACACACAAAACCAACACAACATCTACTTGTGTCTATAAATAAGTTTCTTGGGTTTAACCCACTGCAAAATAATACTGTTACAACCCCTCCCACAGCCCACTCCCACTTACTTGGGATTACACCACTAAGTACACTTAATAGCTTATATATTTATAAACACCACACTTTTGGAGACTGCAGAGCTGTTACTATTGACACCAAGTCAGGGACTGGAAGGAGGGAGGCCACACAGGACACCGTCAGGAAGTTACGGGGCAAGTAGAATGGTCTGTCCATGATTCTTTATAAATAGCCACATTTCCAAATGGTGCGACCAACGGCAAATATTATCACCAGCTTTCCCCACTCCCACCCCATGACACAACCTACTCCCATGGGAAAACCTCCTACTCTTCAACATCTGTCGATGTTTCAGTTACTTAACCCAAACTATGTGATTTAAAAAATAAAGGCAGTGGTCAATGAAAGGCACTCACCACCAAATATTGACTCCAGAAAGCAACCTACAAACTAGCTTCCATCCTACTTCAAAACATATAAACATGTTGGACAATGTATAACACACTAAATCCGACTTGACTGGTTTTAGCCCCCAAATAAATTGTTCTTAGAATGAATTGAAAGAAATAAAAACCATCTTTGGATAATTTAGTTGTAAAAGTAAATCATAAAATCCTTTATGATTCAGTCATTCTGTCACCTGGATACTCCTTTTACCTGAATTTTATTGGAAATCATGTGGCCATCAGATTTATGCCTCAGTAGGAGACATGCAAAAAACCACGAAGTTCTTATAAACTGTGGCCCCTCACTATGGGCAAAATATAGTATTTATATCCATCCTATGAAAGAAAGACTACCAAGGCAGAATTGTCTTAGGAGAGAGAACATCACGACTGCAGGGACGGATGCACTCATTCATCAGGGGGAATTTCGCATAGAGGAAACTAATTTTGAACTCAACAACATGAACACAATGCATCAATAATATCTATGTCAACCACAGCTCTATCTTCACATAGCTTGATCTTGTACTTCACATCTCACGAGAAAAAATGGTACTGCCTTATAACCACAAACTGGAAAGCTAGGGGCCTTTCCAGAGCGTGGACTCACAATCTGAACCTCTGGCAGGTGGGTGGGACAAGACAGCAACATAACCAACAGCCTTTGACGGAGAATAAATAGACAGCTCCTGCCCAGCCTGTTTGGGATGCTCTAAATTCATCCTCCTCTGTGTCCACAGGAAGTAACACTAGCTGAGCTTCTGCTGGCATGGGGAAAGTGGACCATGCTGAGAAGCAACGCCATGAAGGGAAAGAGCCTTGATGTATGGGAAGGAAGCGCCAAGACCCAAATAGATCATTAATTAATTAGGATGTTGGAGAAGTCACTAAACTTGAGTTCTAGTTTTTAAATATCTTTGAGCTCTTTTTGGTCTCAAACTTTCTGATTCTCGAAACCACACACGATATACAGAATATCTGGACTAACACTTGTACTGCATCCCTATAGTCTACCAGCAAACAGGAGACATCACCAGTGGGGCAGGCCAGAGAGTACCCACAGTGGGCTCTCATGGCCTCCTGGTTCAGTGGTTTTAACTACTGGAGAGGAGAGAAGGGGCAGAGAGCCACTAAGCAATGAAGAGCGTCAATCTGAAAAGGAAATAGTGCTTCCAACTCTAAAAGGTCTGTATATCCTATTTTGATGATTTTTCAAAGTAAGATGGCTATCTTTGACTATTACACAAACATTAGGAAGGTCACTTGATAGAAAAAAAAATCACTTTAACAACCATTTGTTTTTACAACCTAAGAAAGACTTTAAGGGCAAAGTGACTATGGAATAAACAGAAGCTACAGGCTGCTGGCGCCTCCCAAGGTCGAGGAGCAGGAAAAAGAGTGAGAACACGCCTGGAGCTGGCCAGTGGCTGCGGCACTGTGGGGACTGGGGAACCAGTGGCTTGTAGGTACAACACTGGTCTGAATCGAACTACTCTGCCCAGATTGCAGGCATGAGGTTGTTTCTAAATTCTACACTATAATCTTTCAGGAAGAAAAGGGAGCCATGGATACCCACGCCACTTCCCTCTCCCTGCCCTCTCCCAGACATTGCACAATGGGCTACCCTGCTGAACTTTCCTCTAGTTATTTTTTATTTTTTTACTATTTTTTATTGTGATAAAATAAAAATTTTAAATGAAAAAATATGTAACAAAATTTTGCCATTTTAACCATTTTTAAGTGTACAATTCAGTGTCATTGATTACATTCATAATGTTGTGCAACCATCACCAACATTTCCAAAATTTTTCATCACCCTAAACAGAAGTGCTATAACCCTTAAGGAATAATTCCCCATTTTCCCCTCCCCCCAGCCCCTGGTAACCTCTAATCTACTTTCTATTGCTATCAATTTGCCTATTCTAGATATTTCATATATGTGGAAACATATAATATTTGTCCTTTTGCATCTGGTTTTTTTCACTTAGCATAACATTTTCAAGGTTCATCCATGTTGTAGCCCATGCTGCAGAATCTCATTCCTTTTTATGGCTGAATAATATTCTATGGCATGGATATACCACATTTTGTCTATCCATCATCTACTGATAGACACTGGGGTTGTTCTCAGGTTTTGGCTATTGTGAATAGTGCTGCTTCAAACGCTTACTTTCCTCCACTTGGCAGAAACTGAGACTGGAGCAGGGGCTGCTTTACTCTGAAAGGCTGTCTTCTGTACTGCTTCCCAAAGCTGCTTGTCAAGGATGCTGGTGGCACTTGGTTCTGTTTTGAAGTTGGGCCCCTTTCAAAACCGACTGATTTTCTCCCTCTTGCTTCAGTCCTCCTCGGCCAGGTGAGAGAGGCAGCAGGGAGAGGTGGGAGCGGCAGAGAAGGGCTCAAATCCCGGCTCTTCCGCCCACTGGTCTCCATGAGCAAGGCCAGGTGGTTTCAGCTCTCTGAGCCTCACTTTCCCATTCCTACAGTGGAGAGCCCACCCTCTGCAGGAGGCTATGTGGCTGAGAGGCAGCTGCACCTGTCAAGCTGGCGGCCCCCAGCAGCATGTGCCCCGAGCTCCCTTCCCTTTAGGGCAAACCGCCTTCCACAGGAACCCCACTCAACCAAATTGATATCCTATGTTGTTGTTCCCTCCTTGATGGCTACTGAGTCTTGCCCCAAGGGTGTTGACCTACAAACTACTGGGGTGGAGAGAAAGCACCAGAACCCGCCAGAGGAGCACCAGACTGGAGACATTTTCAAATGACGCTGGTACCTGGGCACAAAGATGGAGTTGTGCAGGAAATTCTCGAAGACTTTGCGGTACTCGGCCTCCTCCTTCTCTGCCTGCTTCTCAGCTTCAGTTTTGGGGCAAGCGCAGCAAGGTCCTTTCTCTCCACCACACACTTCGGTCTTGGGATTCTCTGTCACCTCTTCAACGTCAATGGTGCCATCGGCATACTTCCTGATGGGGATTTTGTCTGCTCAGAAAACAGAAGCCCAATGACAGTGGAAATGAAAGCCAAGTTACACATGCCTCTGAGGGAAAATAATAAAATAATAGCTGTCAGCACCTTTAATCAAGAACGTGGCCAGTTTCCAAGGGCTTACACTGCTAGCTGATACGTGTAATGTCAGGGCTTGGATATGTTCAGATGATGGGGGTTCACGGTTACAGGTCTCCCCACATTCCATCCTTACCTTTGGAGCAGTAATTGTGCCGGTAAAGGTAGCTGTCCTGAGGCTGTCGCTGCCATCTCACAATGTAGTAACTCAGGTTGCCGTTGGGCAGAGAGGGCGGGTTCCACTTCACGATGAGCTGAGAAGAAGAGTTGGATGCTGAAAGAACATCCAGCGGGATGGAAGGAACTGGAAAAGGAAATGAAGGACAGTTCAGAAAAGGGAATGAACCCAAGACCCAGGCTGTCAGGTCCTCAACCCGAACCAACAAGCAGCCGAAAGTCTGACCTGGATAAGAAAACGGCAGTGAACACTGAAGAGCAAAATGAAAACTGAGCCTTGTTTTGCAACGGTATTAATTTAAATGCCAACGTTTCCCTTTATAATATCTATTCTCAGGTAATCTCTGTGAAAACAAACATTACTGAGCTGCAAATGGAAAAAGGTTGTGGGGGCGCATGAGGGTTAGAATGGATGACTTAAAATCTACAGGCAATTCAAACACCGGATTTTTCTCATTTATTACAGCTGCCATTCTCCAAAACATTTAACTCCAGAAGCTTTAGCAAGTGATAAAATTGACTGACTTGCATTTCACCTGAGATTTTGAATCTCTGATAAGAATGGCAAGAAACCAAAATGAAAGGAGAAAGTAAAAAAGGGGCTGGAGTGTGTGTGCATGTGTGTGCGCATGTGCACATGTGTGTGTACGAGAGCTTGGAGGAAAAGGTGATGTGAAAGGCCTCGAAGTCTAAAATTCTACAATCATGCTTTAATGGAATGACTGAGACACAACTATGAAAAGCAGTCTAAAAACTCAAACACACATAAAGCCCTGACTTCAAGCAATGGAGTCTGTTACCAGCAAGAGAATACTGATTTACAGGCAAAGCATAATCATCTGGTCAAGCTTTACTTACTACTGCCTGCCACTGCGCCAGCCGCCCCCAACCCCCGGCCATGAACCCAAATCCAGAGATGATTTGTACATAAAGGGCAAATGCATCCCAGGACCACTGAAATCTTACTCTCATGGGGTTCACAAGAAAACACCAATTTCGGTGGGTTTTCCACAGCGCAAGAGACACCTCCACTGTATGTCACTTAAGCAACATGGTCATCCAAGCTGCTTTTAAAATTTCAAAGGGGCAAACAAGTTAAGGGTACTTTAAGGTACATAATATTATATACAAAGTTATAAACATCTGTAAGGAATGATGCTTTGGGGAAAAGTTATAACTAATGCTAGCTTTTTCAGGGGAAACATAACCACTGGATGCTTGGCCACTTTCAGGTTTCCAAAAATAAGTGTTCCAGAAACAAACAGCTTACCCCTGGATGTTTCAATGGTGAGTGTCAAGAAAAAGCAGAGGCAAAAGACTAAGTTTTCCTCTGTCCCCACCACTTGTAAGGACAGGGACTTAACTGTAGTACACTGACTCAGTTTGTACAATGCTTCATTTTCCACCTTTGGGGAAGGAAATAGGTTTCGTAAGAATTTGTCATAATAGGGAACGATTCTTATTCTTCCTGAACCGGCTACAATAAATTGCTGGGAAGGGTTACTTCCAAATTTTAGGAAGAACAACTTATTTTGTTGCCTTTGAGCCTCTGCTACACCACCCCACACCTGGGATCAGAAGCCTGTGCCCGATTTATTTCTATAAACACTTTACGGTCAGTGACATGATTGTGGCCACTCACAGGATCATCGAGCTGGGGTGGGGGAGGGGAGGCGGAAGCAGGAGTACATGAGCTAAAGGTTTTCCCCACCAACATCTTTTCCTCACCCTCTCTGCCATTTAAACCTATTTTGTGCTAGCTTATAGGCATTTTAAAACAGCCTACCAATTCTAACAACAGCTATCATCAAAGAATGTTTATCAGTGTATTTAAAAATGATGTGTATTTTCCTACTTCTAAACTGGTTTTTATATACTTGGAAAATATACACAATGTTTCCTTTCATTAGTTCCTGATTCTGGAGGTGAGAAATGAGGTGGTTTAGAAAATGAAGACAGAGGAGAAGGAGGAACACTTTCATCAGTGAATACTTTGAACATCCACAACATACTATGCCTGACGTCTTCCAACTTTTATCGACCTCTTTCGAACCCCAGCTGCTACAGAAGGAAGATGGAAAATCAATGAGCCAAGTGAGGTAACTGGAACACCAATCAGCATGTTTTTAGTTAAGAGAGGTTCAACTATCAAAATAAATAAGAAGGGCACCCTTACAGGGCTATATGCTGGCTGGGCCTTCCAACAAAACCAACCCAGCACCCTGGAGGACCTGGGCTCATCAGCCCAGGGCAGACAGACAATGGAAGATGGTACCAAGTCCAGAAAATGGCCCGGAAGAGCCTAGGGTATCAAGAGTGGGAAAAAGAATATGATATGGTATTATATACTGACAAAAAAGACATATAAAAGACAGACTGGCCCAGGACAGACAGAGACAATAGGCACATTCATTGTTAACCCTATGACTACATCTTGTAATAAGTAAAAACAGTCAGCTCATGAAGAAGTATGGGACGACAGGGGTGGTACATGAATACCTGAAGCATTGGTGCGAATATACAAGATTTCACTCTTGGCCCCACGAATGTGGTCGTTCTCCACCATGGTGAGGGTCACGGCCTTGACGTAAACAGCGTACTGCGTCCAGGGCTTCAGCCCGTGCAGCAAAATGCCAGGCTCGACGTCCTTGTTGGGAGGGAGGTCCACATCCACCATGTTCCAGCTGTTGGAGCCACAGGCATCCTGCCCATCGTACTCCGTGACGTTTTTAAAGGGTCTAAAAGACAATAGATAAAGCTCAGAGCATGTTTTAGGGCTTCGATATCAAAGCTCTCAGAAACCTTCCCCAGGGGCTAGCACATCAAACTTTCTATAACGGGAATTCTAAATAAAACAAATGATCAATTAGATTTTTATAGAAGAATAAAATTAAGCAACTAGACCACAGTTACGCACTATAGAATTGAATACTCTGCCTCAGAAAGAGTAAATTCTATAGTTATCGGGATTGAAAACACTGTTCCTTAAGAATATATGCAAACTCTATTTTTCTCTCTTCTGATTGTGGAATTTTTTTCACCATTAAGAAAAAACAAGCGCAGTCATTTAATGTAAACATCAGCTATTGATAAAGAATAACTTTTGGAGAAAAATGTCTTTGTTACAGAAAAACAACTTCTGGGCCGGCCCTGTGGCTTGGTGGTTAAGTGCGCGCGCTGTGATGCTGGCGGCCCGGGTTCGGATCCCGGGTGCGCATCGAGGCACCACTTCTCTGTTCATCCTGAGGCCGAGTCCCACATGCAGCAACTAGAAGGATGTGCAGCTACGACACACAACTATCCACTGGGGCTTTGGGGGGAAAAAAAAAAAAAAAAAAACTTAAAAAAAAAAAAAAAAAAAAAAAAAGAAAAACAACTTCTAAAATATAGCTTCCAAAATCTAATTTGCTCACAAACAATTCTATCGCTTAAGTATCTTCAAATATTAGGTTTCCAGATTGTCTCAGAAACTAGCATCAACTCCTTGGTGAAATGACCAGCGACAAAGCCAAATGGTAATGCAGGACTATCAAAGAGAAGAGAGTACTTTGCACAGATACGTGGTTGGTCAGGGATTCTACATCTGTCAGATGAAAGGGCTGGACAGCCACTGGCCACTGGCTTCTGAAACAGACATTAACATACCCCTCCCTGTCATTGCAATGGAAGACCATGAGTGACCCCCATATATAGGAACACTGAATGCCTAATAATTCTGAGCCCTGCAGTTTTCATTGCTAGGACCCTTCCCAGGGCCCGGCTCCAGCAGGAGAAAGGGTACCAGATGCTGCCATTGGTGGCTCTGGTTCCAGCTCTGGGGAAGCCAAGCCCCCGGCCAAGAGACCTACGGGGTAAGGAGGGGGACTAAGTAGACTGGGGGAACCACCTGGATACAGGAGGCAGAGGAAGGAAGAGGGAGACCAAGAAGAGCTGCCGTCTGGAGGAGTAAGTCATGGATACTTAGGCAGGCGACCGTCATCTGAAGGCTCCAGAAAAGCCCCCAGTAGATTTGAGGAGAAATTGTGAAAGGTTCAAGACATGAAGGTCAGTCTCTTCATTCTCCTTCCTTGTTTGGAGGGCTCATGACCCAGAGCAGGGGACCGCACCCTGGGAGGGGCCCATGGATAGAGGGACAGGATTGAGATGACAGACCTGTCCAGGGGTCACCTCAAGGGGAGCTGAGCATCCTGTAGGGTATTCCTGTGGTATGGGTTAGCACCAATGATATTTCAACCACATCCTCCATCCCAGTTTATGAATGTTTGGACTGACTTAGTTCTCTAAAAAACAATCTTTTCTCTTTAGCTTTAATTAATTAATTAAATTTTTATTTTATTTTATTTTATTTTTGCTTGAGGAAGGTTAGCCCTGAGCTAACATCTGTGTCAATCCTCCTCGACTTTGTATGTGGGATGCCTCCACAACATGGCTGATGAGTGGAGTAGGTCCACACCTGGGATCTGAACCCATGAATCCGGGCCGCCGAAGCGGAACGTGTAGAACTTGAACCACTCGGCCACGGGCCAGCCCCAGGATTTATTTTATTTAAATGCCTCTAATTACCTACTGAAGAATGAAAGGCCTCAAGCTAACACTTTCCCCTTTGTAGCTGGCACTGGCAGTGGTGGATGTCACGTGACAGCCAGGGAGGGTGATGAGGATGAAGCAGGGACCTCCCCACCCGCAGCCCTGCCAACAGAAGAACGTCACCAAGCACAGAAACTCACGCCTCCTTGTAGTAGACGGTGAAGCTGATGAGGTCCCTGTAGTCAGGGGGCCGGTACCGGTGCCAGGTGATGATGATGCGATTCTTCCACGTGGTGGTGGAGGTGAAGTGCAGGACGTCACTCTCACCTGGGGCACAGAGGCACATCACGAGTGAGAGATCAACGTCCTTTTCCTCCACGTGTCAGAGAAGTCACCTGTCCTGTACTACTTTCCCCTTCTCCAAAGCTGGCTGTGCACACTAAGTCCCCCTCTGGACTTCTCAGTGGCTTTCTTATTTCCACTAAGGACTCAAACATTTTACTGTGTGGAGCTCCAAGGGGCTCGCTCCTTTGTTTTAGCACACTTGGGTGCACTGGACGTGAACCCGTGAGTGATTCCTAACCTGAAAGAGGACTGCTTAATTGAAGAAGGTAACTTTACCTTTCTGCCCATCTCTAAGATGAGGGCTGTCGAGGAGACCACAGGAGGTGAGAGTACACCTTTACACTGGGCCGAATCTTCTTAGATATGATGGCACCTGTTCTGCAGTTGTGGATACCTGCCTGCCCTTGTGCAACCACCAAAGACAGGTAAGAGACCAAGCTGCCACAGAGGGGAGCTTTCCTTAGTCTCAACTTGGGATCAAACTGGAAGTACACAGGAACAGCTAGCACTGACATACAATGGGGAATGAATCAGCACTAACAAGAACAATTCCACGTGGTGAAGCCTTCTGTGCTCTGAGGGGAGTAAGCCTTTGCTGGTGAGGGGACGCTGCCCCGATTCCCCTCTTGCTCCTCCGACCAGATTCAAACTGCAATGAGAACCAGCGAAGAACTGATGACTGCCTCCCCTCACAGAGACCAAAGGTCTCCTACGAATTGTCCTTTCCCTGGTATTCACCTGAATCCCAAAGTACACGCGGCAGGTGAAGCAGCGAGGCTAAAGGTAGTTAAAAACTAGAAGTCTGTGGCGCAAAATTTGCTGGACTGAGATTGGAGAAATGTTGCAGTTCCTGCTAAAGTGTTATTTAGAGGGAAAACATGAAAACTTGTTTTCAAGGGAAAATAAATGGCTACTGTATTCATGATCTGACAGGTCACCCTGGCTGACTCTAAGGAGAAGAATGCTTTGAAAATGCTCTGACACATCCGCTTCTGCTGTGGTTTGAGCAGGGAGCACAGCAGGGGCTGTGGCAGGTACCACGAGGGAGAAGGTGCTGGTTGTGAACACGCTCTCCAGCTCTGTGTCAGGCTTCTTCCCTCTAAAAACTCCTCCTGAGCAATGTGAGTGTCTACTGGGCAAAGCCAGACACCAGCAAAACAAACCAAAGTCAAATGGTGATCATCTCACAGGTCCTTCTCCACCCCCAGCGTGTACATGTGTGTGTGCAAATCATCCTTGGTCATATAAATTACTCTATTTTTTTCTAATACTCTTCCTTATTAAAAGCCAATGATGGAGAGACAATTCACTTTTATAACTCTACCCAGCCAAACAGAACCACATTTTTAAAAGCAGTTTTATATACAGGATTAGACAAGAAATGCACTGTTATATCTCAGATACAAGACCTTAAAGAAAAAGTCGTATAACCAGTGCGAGGTTATAATTATATTGTTCTAAATCTAAAAAGCAATATCAACTCAGGGAGGCAGGCTCTCTCCATCTTTTTCGCGTTGTGGTGGGAGCAAGGAGGAGGCCAAGCCAGGGACAGGGACCCGTGGCCATGGGGGCTGTGCTCGTAGCTGAGCCCCCGTGCCCTCAGGCCTCCCTGCCACACTGTGGGTGAGTGAGAGCCAAGCTCGCTTCCTCCCAGGGCTGGGGGGACCAGCTCTTCCCTAAAAAATACTCTGACTGTATGCTTGTGCGTAAAAAGACATTTAACTCTTCGTATTCTGTAAGCAGCACTCCTTTAAATTCTGAGTAAGAACCTATTTATAAATAGTCAGTATATAGATGCTAAGGAAAATTTACAAACATGAATCTGTCATGAATCTGCCCACTACTGACTCTGAAGATATACATGTATCAGCAAAGTATTGGTTAAGGAGGCCTTGCGTCCCACCAAGTGACACGAGGAGCCGGCCACACACGGAAGCCACTGTTCTAGACCGGCGGAGGGTTGCTTTATCAGGACCCTTGGGTTCACTCACAGGAGGCTCTCTCTCCGTTGTTCCTGGTGTTGATGTCCCCTTTGCTCTGGCGCCCTTTAGTCCCTGTCACTTCCTCCATGCGGTAAATTTCAGAGACACACAATTTTGGATTGAAAGCAAAGTACATTTTCCCAGCTTTGATGGTCAGGTTGCGGTGGTCCCAGTCCCACAGCTGCTGCAAGTTCTGGTTGTCGAGGACGTAGAAGGAGTAATTCCTAGAAGCACAGAAATTTGCATCAGCACCTCTGCCCTTTTCCATCGTCCACCCTAGCCTGCTGGCCACCCCACACAGGTCCTCTCTGCCGCGTGGCTCCAGAATACACTGCCTTGGCCAATAAGAGGTTTAGTTATTAAAGGCATCTGAGAACGGCTAGTTACTGTTGACGACGGCAATAATATGATTCAAGGATAACATATTGAAATCGATAAGACACTAATTAATGACCTCTATTACCAATAAATAATGCTTCTCACAGTGGAGGATGTTACTCGAATCATCCCCTAGAAATGCCTCTGGTTATTTCTCTCAGAGCAGAGTATGTACAATGTGCTTGAAATCAGTCCACGGGAGGACAGACACGCTCTGCTACTCAACCAGAACAGCTTACATATTTGCTGTAGAAAGTCGCCCATTATCCTTAGGGGTAAATCCCATCCGAGCCGTCAGCAGCATATGATGCAACAGGAGGGAGAATGGGACAGGGAGACACATTCAGTGGTGGTGAATCCCTCCTCCAGATTCACCCCACCCTGAAAAGCCCCAGCCTGGGTCCCTGGAGAAGGTGGGGGAGGAAAAACAGCCCCTGATGGGCAGTGCCCCTGGTCCACCCATTCAGGCAACAGTGAATCAGTGTCCAACACAAGTTAGTGTGCACAGTGTACAAAGCTTGTTTTCAGAGCACTGGGCCCCATCCCCAGAGTTTCTGATTAGCAGGTCTGAGTGGGCTGAGAATCTACATTTCTAACCAGTGCCCAGGTGATGCTGATGATGCTGGTACTGGGACCACACTTGGAGAAGCACTGGTCTAACAGATGCTGAGCACCAACCAGGGTCTGGAGGTCCAAAGCTGACAAAGTCAGACGTGGGTCCTGCCCCTAGCGGGTGGACACAGAAGCAACAGACCCAGCTGTCCACTGAAGGAAAGATGAAGGGACAGCCAACATTGGCAGCAGCTACCTCTGGCTACCTGGAAAGAAACTCATACCCGGGGAGGCAGAGAGCAGACAGCCACGGCTTGGGGATCTGGAGAAAGATCCTTGCATTATACCTTTCTCTAGAGGTCCCTCGGGAAACCAGGCAGATAGGGCCACAGCTGCCCGCCTGAGTCCTCTGTGCTGAAAGGTCTGCTTCCCACGGACCTCGAATCTTTCCTCTCCCCTCCTGCTCTTCAGCCTCAGTTTTTTTCTGGGATTCACTTGAGCACTTTACACAAAACTGAGTCTAGGAATTGGTATAGCACCCTGAGTTAAGCTAAGATCCACTCACGGATCCAACACACAAACAGCGGAAAGGCAAGGATCCCCTGCCCTCTTTCCAGAGCCAGGGTAGCCAGGACAAAACAGAAGCCTGAAGCCCTTCTCTCCCCTGGGGGCTGTGTCCACTGGCCACCTCTCTGTGCCTGGTGAGGTTCTTCATTTACACTCATACCAGGACCCTTATATGCCTGGTGAATCCTTAGCCTGAGTCTCATTCACTTAGAGCAAAGCAGAAGTTATGGTTACAATGCTGCCAAGCAGACACTTGACATTTCCCTGGGAATTCACAGGGGAGTTCAGGTGGGAGGGAGTTTGGAGACGGGGATCCAGGACTAGAAATGCCATTAATGAGCTACATGGCCATAGGCAGGTCACTTAGCACTTTCTGTAGCCCCATTTACTCATTCATAGGACAAAAGGGGCATCTGAGCTCCCTGTCGGCTTTAAGAGTCCAGGACCCTAATGCCCAGGAGGAGGTAGAGAGCTGAGGTGGAATCTGCCCCACCAGCCTGAAGCCCAACCTCTCTGCAAGCACTGGGCCCCGTCTGCACATGCCTGGGGGTTGGGGGTGGGAGTCCCGCACGCACAGGGGTTCAGTGAGACAAGGGCCTCCAAAGGCAGGCTCCTCACAAACTCACCTTGAGGCCTCTTGACACATTCACGGCCACCAAACCAAGTGGTAAAAATCTACAAGTCAACAATCCTCTCCTTTCGGTAAGAGCTCACCCCCTAACACATACATCTGCTGGAAAAGGAACGTAGGACACTGTCCAAATGAATCTAGAGTCGGAACAGGCAACACAAGGCCATGTGCGCAGGCGGGAAGCACCCGGAGATGGCAAGGTGAGATCTGCCGTCCCGCAGGACAGCCCCCACCCACGTCTGCTCTTCCTCATCTCCCAGGATGCTGCCAGAAGGCAGAAGGATTCGTGCAGTCTTACCACTGAAGGAGGGTTTACAGGTGGAAACAGATGCCTCCTATTGTAGGCCCATTCTTGCCCGTGGAATATTTCCAGCTCCGAAGGACACTCTGCAGTGTTAATACTAACCCCAACAGGTCTAGCTGCTCAGGTTCCTGAGCTGGTCACATGCACAAAATCTCCTTGTCGGTGCAGAAACCTCTGGGCTGGGAGTAAGTTCCAATTAACCAGGTCAAACTTCTGTCTCAACCCAGGATGAGACGTCTTTTTAGTGAAGTCACTTCACTAGCAGGGAACAGAACCACATCGAAAACACCTTCTAAACAAAACATGCTTTTCTCCAGGGGAGGAAGCATGAATTATAAATCAGGAACGTGACAAATGAATGGCAGGCACACTGAAATCCTGTGTATGTAATTAATCACTTTGAAAAGCAAGATTATCTTTTTACAGTAAACACAAACATTTTTTACAACACCGAGAAGGCCTGGAGCCAGGATACCAATATCAATAAAACCCAGGCATTATGGAACCTGTGTAAGCGAAGGAAAGATAAAAATAAAACCCTCGTCAAAATAATAATCAAGCCATTCATGAGCTGCCTGTCAATACTGCTCTTGTTTTTCCAACCCAGTTTGGGGCCTGGCTCCCCTCAAATTCCTCCCGTGATGAGGTGAGTATTAAGAGATGGTAGAAGGCGGAGACTTGTCTGCACATCTTCAACACACACACGCTTAGATTTTCATTGTTTCCTAAAGGAAATGGTTATTTATGCCGATTACTCAGTAAACGTGATTTCCTAATTGTTTCTAAGCTTACTGCCTTTACATTCAAACAATATTTTTAAAAAATAAGTTATTTGTTTATTTTTCTATAGCTAACATGGGCTCCATGGTGCCTGGGTTTTACAGATATTGGAATCATGGCTCCTGGCCTTCTAATGTTGCAAAAAAAGTCTGTTTCTGTACTGGGTAGGCCCCACCTGCCAAAATGTAGACCAGCTGAGGCAGGCTGGAAGCAGTCAGTTATCTCCTTGAGGACATCTGTACATTACCTGTATTGATATTCTAAATGCCTAGCACGTATTATATACTCAATTGCTTCATTTATGGCTCCAGTCTTGGGGCTGTCTTACCTCTGAATTATCAACACCACCACCTTCCCGCCTGCTCCAATGAAGGGCAGGGAGGATCAGGAAGCAAAGGAAGGCAAAAGCACTAGGGATTTGCATGGTACTTAAAAGACAGCCCCGCGTCCAGGGTTTGGAGAACTGCATTTGGGAATCCGAGGATCAGGGTCTGAGTGTCACCTCCACTACTTACTAAGCAACAACTCTAGGCAAAGTATTTAGTAGGCTTCTCCCAGGCTGGGACAAATGGGGCTGAGGGCAAGGTCTCTAGCCTGCGGAAGTAGGAAGGGATAATTCCCTCTTTCCAGCCCTTGCTGACAAATTGAAAAAAAAAATCTGCAAATACACAACAGATCATTCCCTTTCACTTCTCGGAGGAGAAACCATGGCGTCTTTCCGGCTGTCTCTAGGGGGCATCAGAACCCAGCACATGGGGCCGTCTCCAGCATTGGAGCAATCTGCAACTGATACAGGACTTAGCCTTTTCACAGATGCTGCCTCCAACCCATCTGTAAGAGGTTGCTTCACACCAGGTCCAAACTTCCCCAAATCCAACATTTACACCAACCTTGGGGGCTCAGCAAGGGTGGGAATTTATATTCAAGTGGCACTAGGCACCAAACAGATACTCGGAAAATATTTCCTCTTTGAGTGTTTTTAAAGGAGCTGTACTGAGATATCATCTTGCTGTTGTTAGTGCCATGGAGTTGATCCTGACTCCCAGTGACGCTGTGGACAGCAGGGCAGACCCCTACCCAGTCTTTCTGCACCATCCTCTCATCTTCTAGCGCTCTATCAGATAATGCTCTGCTGTTATTCATAGGGTTTTCATGGCCAATTTTTGGAAGTGGGTGGCCAGGTCCTTTTTTCTAGTCTGTCTTAGTCTGGAAGCTCTGCTGAAATCTATCCACCATGGGTGACTCTGCTGCTATTTGAAATCCCAGTGGCATAGCTTTCAGCATCACAGCCACATGCAGCCGCCACAGTATGACAACCGACAAGATAGGTGATGTGGTTCCCTGACCAGGAAACGAACCCCAGCCACAGCGGTGAGAGCACTGAATCTTAACCACTAGACCACCAGGTCTGATAATTTACCTACCAAAAAATTCACCCGTTTTAAGTGTACAGTTCTCTGAGCTTCAGTAAATCTATACAGCTGTCCAACAATCACCACTGTGCCGTTTCAGAACATTTCTATAGTGTCCAAGTTCTCTCATTTCCAGTGGTGGTCAATCTCCCATCCCGTCCCCAGTTCTCACTGATCTGCTTTCTGTCTCCATAGTGTTGCCTTTTGTAGAAATTACATATTAACGGGATCATACAATGTGTAGCCTTTTGTGTCTGGCTTTTTCACTTAACCTAATGTTTTTGAGGTTCATCTATGTTGTTACATTATTGTTGAGCAGTATTCCATTGTGCCACATTTTGTTATCCATTCATCTGTTGATGGACATTTGGATTGTTTCCAGTGTTTTTTTTGGGTGGGGGGAAGGGGCTCTCATGAATAATACTGCTATGAACATTCACATACAAGTCTTGTGTGGGCATGTTTTCATTTCTCTTGGGCAGATACTGGGTAGAGCCTAGGACTGCTGAGTCACATGGTTGAGTCTATATTTTTTAAAAGCCCCAGAGAAATGTTAAAGTGCAACTCTGTTGCAACCCAATCTTAGAGTTGCAAAGGTAGAATGAAGCATCGAGTGTTGCAAAGTCATGGTGGGTACACCAGCATAGAGGTGCCTCAATGCAGCCAAGAATTTCAATTCTTACAACCCACTACCTTTGCCTACTTTTATTCTTTTCAGGGCTTTTCCTTGGTGGCACCAAAGAATCTGAAATTTTAACTCCCGGTTTAGTTGATGACATCAGAAAATAAGGTTGTCCAAATAATGACATTTCCAGATATCAGAAATACTCTCTCTTATTTAAGGGTTTAAAAATGAGCGATTTTATAGAAATTTTGTACATGTGCATTACAAAATCCGTTTCCTTCTTAAATAGCAGAAGAACCTTGGTTTTCTTAATGTTTAAGGTTATTGGTCTAGAAACACATCACATTAATGGAGTGAGTGATGCCCTCAAGGAAACCCTGGCCGTCTGAGTTCTTCTGAACAAACCGATGCTCTCCGAGCCCTGTTCTCCAGCAACCGACTGCCCTGCTGTCTGTTCTGATGTGATTCTGCCTCTACCTGTTGCTAGTCTGGAAATCAGATTACAAAATCGGCTCACGATGATTGATATAAGAGCAAACAGGCTCTCAGTGAGTTCCAAGAGCTCTGCTCTAGGTAAAATGCTTGAATTTCACATTCTCGACTTGACCCAGTGGTCTGGGCTGCTCGGGAAACTTCTGGAGGCAGATCTCAGTTCCAGTTTGGAAACCCAATGTTGTCGAAGGATCTTGACATGAAGGATCTCTGCACGATGACTTTTTCTGCTCTCCATCAAAACAAAAGGCTACAAAACTTCCATCCTATTGAACCAAATGAAAGCATTTATTTATATTCTCACTGGCTATGACAGGCTTGAGAAAAATAGTACATTGTGGCAACAGTGTGACAAGAAAATATTTAGGAAAAAAAGTCAAAATGCTTTGGGGATATGCATATAAGAAGAAATAACGGGAGAGAGCAGGGGTTTCCAATCTCTACTGCACATTGAAGTTCCCTCGAAGTCTTCAGAAAATGCCTGGATCCCACTCCAAACATTCTGATTGAATTGGGACAGGGTGCAACTCGAGTGTCAGGATTTATTTAAAGATGATTCTAATGAGTAGCAAAGTTTGGGAACCACTAGCAAAGTTTGGGAACCACTGCGATAAAAGTTATCTTGGCTTAAACCAAAAGCACACAGAAATGAAATGTTCAGAAATTAAATTTCCAGATAGCTCTGCTAACACTCCTCTAACTCAGAAGCCTTGAATACGTGCTACTGCCTACCTAAATTATAACCTCCACACCTGGATGCATAACACCTTACGTAATTCTAATACCACCTACCTCTCCAGCATCATTTGCCAAACAGGTCCCAGGATGCCCCAACTCGTTGCCTTTGCTCCTGCCGCCCTACCCTAAACTGCCTTTCTTCACCCTCTGCTTTCTGAGTGTTTCTGGAAACCCTTCCAGGCCCATCTCAAATGCCCCTTCTTCTTGGAAGCCTGTTTGATCTTCTTAATCAGATATCTGACTCTTTTTCATGCCCATGGCACGTTCCTTTTCTTTCCCTCCTGGCACCTCGCAAGTTCTGCTTTGCCCTCTTGGCATTCATCTCTTTATCATATTCTGTTCTTCTCTTCCTCCCGAACTCTTCCCTTCTTGCAGGAGGGGAGCAGGTGAAGGGGCTGGACCTAATTCTCTTCCTAAGTCTGAGGAGGAGAAAAAAAGAATCGAGTTGTTGCTACTGGTGATACCTGGTACAAAGATAGCTGTGGGGAATTCATTACAAGCGAGGATGACCTACACCTTTTCGGTTAAGGGTGAGGAAGGCAGGGGAGAGAACTCAATTCCCATCAAGAGAGGCAAGGTTCTTAAGCGCCCTAGCTCAAGAGAGAGCCTCCGAAAAGCAACACGCAGGAATAAAAGGCTGGAAGCCCAGCAGCCTCAGAGCTACAAGGGCTATTGATCAGCAGCAGGTTCTGACAACCTGAGGCCCATTTGCCCTCCCCCACCATCTAAAACACTCACAGCAGGGCAGGGGACCAAAGCTTACCTGAGCTTCAAAGTGTCCCAAACACCTGAGCAATGACGCGCAACCTTAAAAAGACCCCACTGGGACTTCCGGTTTTACACAAGTTTCAGATAAAGAGAAATACATCATATTCTTGCAAATAAAAATCAAGCTTTAATTTTCAGCTACATTTAAATGCATAACACTTCTAGTGAACACACAACTAAAAGGGAATCACATTATGTAATAATGAATAAAAATTAATGAAACTCTCCTCTCAGCTTTCATCTATCACTTGCTCAACCTGGGGAAAAATGTGTGCCCTTAAACAGCAGGAAATCTTGCAGATACCAATCTGCCAAAGAAAAAGTGCTTATCCACACCAGGGACTCCAGAAACACAAACCTACTTGGAGAAAGAAAAACTGCACTAAAATTCATTTTAAAATTTAATACAACCAACAATAACCACCACCTCCAATCGGCAGAGCCTCAGCTTGCCATGCAAGTGACCTGGGACACTCTGGGACTGGGCACGGCGGCAGCCTCTTGGATTTGCGAGGAGAAAGAAGTTTTTCGAAAGAATCAGTGTTCCCAGTGGGAAGGACAGTGTGCTTTTCAAGGATGGAATGAAGAGCTGCCCCCTCTCTTGAGCTGTATCAGATGATGGAATTTTAAGAATTTAAGACTGACCAAGAGTTAGTCTGAGAAAAGCAGAGAGGCTGTAAAGAAACTCTTATGCGGTAACTTTACCCAGTCAGGGTAGATAAATCAGCAAGGACAACCTTTCCCACGACCTTCCCACCTCTTTCTTTCTTAAATTATTTCCCCAAATTCTCTTTAGAAGGAATCCACTCATTAATGGATGTCTCTTTTTATTTCAAAGCATTAGCTTAAAGCCAGGCAAGAGCTGTATTTAAAAGGAGGACTGGGAAGAAAAAAGTATAGATACAAAGGTATACACAGGCTAACTGCTGGAAAGACACCGTGTGTGCAACAAGCACCAGCTGTCATTTATCCTCTGGTAGAAAGCCTCCAGCTATTTTAAAACCCCTATCGCAAAGCACATTTCTGCAGAAGGCAAAAATTCTATCAATACCGCAAATCCTATAAGCTAATCAATAAAAACAATTTTGTGAATCAAGAGTTCTTTATAACAAAATGAACTGTCCATACTCCTCCAAATCTCTTACATCCCAACACATTTTGGAAGATGGAATGGTTTTTATGTAGGATAGTACTGCATCCTGAGGCAGTTAAGGGTCATGTAAATGATGATTTCATCGAGAGTTAAGCATTTTAGACCCATTCCTGTCACTCTTGGAAGAAAGAGCCCCCAAGAGCATCCCTGTCTGCTGTTTCACTGGCCACAGTCAGACATGCAACCCCTGACTGATGGGTCACAGCATAGTTTTCCAAAAAGCAACGTCCCAAGGATGGAGAATCTCAACTACACCGGACACTACTGAAGGAGGTGGGCCATCACTCAGGTAGCACTAGCATTACTGTCACTTCTTCCTTTCTTCTTTGTAACAAGAAACAGTTCTTACTTAGTAACGTAGAATTTTAAAAGCACGCTACTTATTTTGTAATAGGAGAATGTCAGTTCATGAAATTTGGAGCACTTACCCCTCTAGCTGCTCCTCTCCTAAGATCTGGCGAAGGTTTTTCAGAAAGGACAAGGAGACCAAGGCGTGGGAATGGCGGATCTTCACATAGCCTGTCACCACCTCGATGAGCCCCATGAAGTTCTCCAGTTCCGAGGCAATGTTATCTATGTTAAGAGGGGACCATGTTACTGAGCATTCACTTAGCGTAAGGGCAACACACTTGGTTTCTCACCAACACGCATAGAGAGCGATTCCGTGGCAGGTCTTGTTTTGTGGTGCCACCGAGATGCTCAGGCTGCTGGCACAGGACCCGCCGCCTTCTGTCAAAAATGCACTTCCCCAGGCTTGACTTTCAAGAACCTTTCCCAGGACAGGGCCCCTGAGGCAGGAGAAAGCGAGTTTCTAGAAGGCCGGGTACTGCAGCTCCCAGGCTGACTAACAATGTAAAATCATAAATACCAGACTGCCAATTAGCGAAGGCCAACAAATCTAGGGAACGTCTTTTAATATGCTCTGTCAACAGACAGAACTGCCTCCACAGTACAAGGGCATGACTAAATAAACAACAATTTCCCCGTCTCATTAGGAACTGCCTTTGCTGCATTTCTAGTTCCTAAGATACAGGGATCCAAATTGAAAGGTTCCATCTTACTAAGACTGGAAAACGCACTAAAATGTTAACGATAGTTATCTGCAGGTGATTTTTAAAAATTCATTTCTGTGCTTCTAAATTTTCTGTAACGCACATGTATTATTTTCATAACTAGAAAATAGTTGCTAAAACATAGTAAAAACAACATGATATATAAACAGTGTATTTCCTTTAATCTTACTTAGACTATCTTTTTCTCATAGTAAATAAAAAACATAAACTTCAGTTCAACTTACATCAAAATTATAATAAATACTATAATGAACTGGGTATGGTTCAACTAATGGGATTTTACCATGTATGACTTGTGAAGGCTTATTTAATGAAAGGTTCTATTTTGCTTTGAACTGATAAAAATAAAAGAATAAAGGTCCTGTCCTAGAGGGCAAGGCCCTACATTTAATGAACACTTGAATGGTTCTCCAAGAGAAATTCAAGTTGTCAAGACTAGAGGTTGCCTGTCATCGATGGTTCAAGGAAATGGTGCTGAATCTTAAATGTGAGGCAGGACGCATACCCTGTAGTCAAGGCTGGGACTGTCCCTTCCAATAAGATGTCCTATTACCCTAACTCCAAATGACTTCCTGAGTTGGACATAAACTGGAAGACACATTTCATCATCATGCAAGAATATGTACCAATTGCCTCTCAAATTATACTTTTCCCATGGGTTTAATTCATGGATTCAATTTTTACCTTCAGAATAAGAAGATTAAAAAAAAAGGAAGGTTTAGGTACTTAAAGGGCATGTTCTAGGGATGAAGAAATCTTTTTAAAAATTAGGAAATCTATGGGGCCGGCCCTGTGGTGTAGTGGTTAAGTTCAGTGCGCTCCGCTTCAGTGGCTCGGGTTCGCAGGTTTGGATCCTGGGCGTGGACCTGCACCACTCATTGGCCATGCTGTGGTGGTGACCCACGTACAAAATAGAGGAAGAGTGGCACATATGTTAGCTCAGGGCTAATCTTCCTGAGCAAAAAAAAAAAGAAAAAAAATTAGGAAATCTAGTAAGAGCAAAAAGAATAAATCTGCAGAATACCATGAGGGTAAGAAAATTCTAGCTATGTGGAAACAAAGTTATCCCTGTTGTCGAGGGGTGAAAGGTGTCGTGAAAAACAAGGGATATCAAAAAATTCAGAAGAGCTAAGCAAAAACTTGTTTCTGCCATCTCTAAACTGTGAGAATATAGCTCACTCATTTAACAAACAGTATTAAGGAAAAGTAAATTCACAGAATAAATAAATTAGTCATTTTCTTTCCCCAAATGGTAAAAACAATTTCTTCACAAAAGGATTTAGAAAAACAATTTCTTTCAACCTCAGGGCTTTCTTACTATATTTATTCTAGCTTAAGAAACTATCAGTACCTTGACCAAGTGGTCCTGGTGGTGGAGAATTTAAGGCACCACAACTAGAAGCCCTTGTCGATTAAAGACCAGAAGTGAAAATATCACAGAATAAGTCAACAGGAACTGCCCTGCACAAATGCAATGACCAGGAATGCCACCTACTGCAAATGACGGTGATTCTGCAGGGGTGAGACAGAAGCTCTAAATAAATGACGACAGATACTTGTATCATTTTGGCTCTCAGAAGTAAATCTGCAGATCAACCACTCTTTTGGACTTAATAAAATTTTAAAGTGATATCATTAAACTCTTCCCTTTGCTCAGTCTCCTCAATATATCCAAGTAACCGAAACTCTTTGGACTTAAAACTGTGTGGATTTGGGGGGCCGGCCCGGTGGTGCAAGTGGTTAAGTGCACGTGCTCCACTGTGACAGCCCGGGGTTCGCCGGTTCGGATCCTGGGCGCGCACCGACGCACCGCTTGTCAAGCCATGCTGTGGCGGCGTCCCATATAAAGTAGAGGAAGATGGGCATGGATGTTAGCCCAGGGCCAGTCTTCCTCAGCACAAAAAAAAAAAAAAGGAGGATTGGCATCGGATGTTAGCTCAGGGCTGGTCTTCCTCACAAAAAACAAAACAAAACAAAAACTGTGTGGATTTGGCTCCAGCTGGAGGCTGCTGAGTCATACCTCTGATCCCCCGGTCTCTTCTGGGGTTTGTGTGTGTTGGGACCTGCCTCTCCTGCGTAGGACAAGACTAAAAGAAAGATGAGGGATGACCCTCTGCAGGAGTAAACACTGCGCCAACGGCTAGAAAACAGACTGCCTTTCAATCTGTTTTTTATTTTTGAGGGAAACTCAAAGGAGAGGCATCAAGCATGAGGCTTACGCACCATGTTGTTTTCTTAGGCCCATATTTTAGTTGTGAGTCATGGACGGGTAGGAAAAGCATCAACAAAAGACACCAAGAGATCCAGCCACCTCTTCCAGGAGGATAGAATACTTACTGCCTCGTCGGATATTAATGAGCAAATTGCCCTTGAAGATGGTGCATCCTTGGAGCATTTGAGCGGAAGTAACAGAATCAATGGTCTTTGTTTTCTTTTCTTCCTCACAGACTTTGGGGCAAGGACCTTCACAAGGGATGCAATACATGCTGTTGGAGATAAAGAACCAACCAAAACACAGAGATCAGAGTGTCTCCTTGCATTAAAAAAATCCTAAGGACATGCTCTTATTCTAGTTGTTTTTGTAGTACAAATTATAAAAACCAACTGTTTTGAAGCGTTCAAGTGGTCACACTGTATCTCATCCTCAAGCCCACCCAGGATAAGCCACTCAAATTGCAAACAAAAGGAAGAAAAGTGCCTACACAGGAAAAGCATGTTGCTTGTTTCCAGACAAAATACGTGATACATCCTTGAAGCATGTGTGTGTCATAGGCTGTCCGACTGGTGAGCCAGCTGGTCCCATGTGGGAGAAAGAGCCTTGCAGAAAGGAAGCACTGGGGGCTCTGGAGAATGGGGCTGCTCTCTGATGTCATGGCCCCTGCCTGGCACACCATGGAGAAGCTGGAGAGGCGACAGGGACAGCAAAGGGACAGCAATATCTTTGCTACTAACAGGAGTCTGACTCCCACAGCCAGAGTCCCAGAAAACCCACTGAGGGACTCTGAAAGGCATGTGGTATAGCACAGATCCATTATTTTCTTGCTAAAGCACAACTGAAATTATTTCTTGACAGTGTTTTGCAGAAACTTGTAAATTGATCCAAATGTTGTTTTTGCTGCATGCACAATAAAAGCAAGGAACTTCCATTCCTTTGTAATGAGCTCCTTTTTCATATGCTATCTTGAACATGCCACAAACCACCAAGAGTCACGGACAGCGAGCGAGACTGGCACTTTTCCTGCCTACCTATCATTATTTAGGAAATAGCAGACAAAACGCTAATCCACCTCCTGAGCCACAGAGCAAGGATCAAAGGTTGCGTTGATTTCCAAACAAAATAAATGATACAACATTATGGGATGTGTGTACAACAGGATGGTGAGTTGGAGAGCCATTCTATTTACACTATTGTTCTTGAATGATCTTTTATTTATTTATTTATTTATTTATTTGCTGAGGAAGACCGGCCCTGAGCTAACATCTGTTGCCAATCTTCCTCTTTTTGTTTGAGGAAGATGTGCCCTGAGCTAACATCTATGCCAATCTTCCTCTATTTGTATGTGGGTCACCGCCACAGCATGGCCACTGACAGACGAGTGGTGTAGGTCCATGCCCAGGAACTGAACCCGGGCTGCCGAAGCGGAGTGCGTCGAACTTAACCACTAGGCCACGAGGCCAGCTCCTTGAATGACCTTTTAAATTTCATGCAGATAAGTTAAAAACATTCAAGAAAACAGTGTAAATTAGCTCTTTCATTAAAGACGTTTTTTTCCCCTGGAACTTTACTGCATATCTAAGGCAAAGACGCAGGGTTTTGTTTTGTTTAAAAGTTTATAGGTACACAAAACTCCCCTGGTATCTTCCTATTTCATGTCGGGAGAATGGGAGGCAAGGTTTCCAAAGGAACTGAGCCAACCACAGGAAGGGAGAGCTCTCCTTCATCTAACACTACACTCAACATTCCCATTTCTAGTGTGGGTAGTAGCTTCCCTTCAGCACTTTTTGTTGGTTTTTTTATTGCTTCTAATTTACCTACATGCCATATAATGCCCCCAATCTCCCTTTTACAAAACTTTTCATTTTGAAATAATTACAGATTCATAGAAAGTTGCAAAGAGTACAGAAAGGTCCCATGTATCCTTCACCCAGTTCCTCCCAATGGCTATATCTCATATAATGATAATGTAATATCAAACCCAGGAAATTCACACTGGTATAGTGTATGTGTATAATTCTACGTCATCTCATCACTGTGTAAGCACCATTTTGATCAAGATACAGAACCAGTCCACAAAGATCTCCCATATAGTCACCCCCATATCCCTAACTCCTTCCTGGCAACCACTAACCTGTTCTCCACCTCTATCTCTCTAATTTTGTCATTTTGAGAATGTTATATAAATGGAATTACATAGTCTGTGACCTTTCAAGATTGGCTGTTTTCACACAGCGTAAGGTTCTTGAGATCTATCCAAGTTGTTTTGTATTTCAATAGTTTGTTCCTTTTTGTTGCCGAATAATATTCCAGGTGTGATATGCCACAGTTTGCTGAACCATTTACCTATTGTGGAATATCTGAGTTACTTCCAGTTTTTGGCTATTACAAACAAAGCTGCTCTGAACAACTGTGTAAGTGTTTTTGTGTGGACATAAGTTTTCATTTCTCTGGGATAAATGTCCAGGAGTGTAACTTCTGGGTTGTAAGGTAAGTGTCCGTTGAGTTCCCCTTGACATTTTATTCAACTAGCAACTGAACCAAGTGCCTTCATTAAAATGTCTAGGAATCATCTAGCACTCTAAAAATGCTTTTCTAAGGAAGTGCTCCGATTACATGTTTACAGATTAAGCTTCCTAGAATCCATTCTGATACAGAGAGGGTATAAACAGTATTTAAAAATAAATAATTTAAAGTAAGTGTCAAATAGGCCTTAAAGGCTGAGAGAGGGGATTTATTATTTCTTGATGCCATTTTATTTTATTTTCTTTCTTGTTTTTTTGTGAGGAGGATCGTCCCTGAGCTAACATCTGCCAATCCTCCTCTTTTTGCTGAGGAAGACTGGCCCGGGGCTAACATCCATGCCCATCTTCCTCCACTTTATGTGGGACGCGGCCACAGCATGGCTTGACAAGCAGTGCTTGTCGGTCCGCGCCTGGCGTCCAAACCGGTGAACCCCGGGCTGCCGCAGCGGAGCGTGCACACTTAACCGCTTGCGCCACCGGTCCGGGCCCGATGCCATTTTATTTCAAAATGGAAAAGGTAGATCTCTAGCTTTGAAGAGACTGTAAGAATGCATAGGGAAAATAATGGCTCAATTCTTTGAGGAATGCACTGCAGTGGGAGAAACACCACTTGAAATGCACAGCACCCCCACTTTGCCCGCTACATCATAGGAAAATGTACCCAAAGGACAAAGATGGTATCACCCCCAGTTCATGGACCAGCTGCCCCATCACCATCCCACTCCCAGGAGGAACTGTGGCTGAGCCACCTCAGGGCACTGGTAAAGCCCTTTTAAGTTCTAAGACTGCCAATAAAATGCGAATAAAATGTGGTAGACTTATTTTGGTTGGAATATATATACTTACGAGTTCACTGGAGTCCTTGGCACATTTATCATTTTAAAGTACTTAGAGTAATTTTTATTATTACAATGGTTATAGAAATTATAATGGGCAGAAAGTTGTTCTACATCCAACGTTATGAAATAATGTGAGTTTTATCTTTGATTTGAAGGTAAGCCTACGGTAGGAATAACATCTTCAAATATTACACTGAAAACAGAATCTCCTTTATAAAGACTTACTTGATGCATTTTACAGAAATAGACTGCAGGAAAAAGCAGGTAAATGACACATTATATTCAAAATTAATGTTTACTTTTCAAGCGGTATTTTATATTTGTAGAATAGTTCTGAAGAACCCAGGAATATAAGGGTCCCCTGGTGCTCATCATGAAGGAGGCTTCTGGCCCATTACAACTGAACTACTTTTTCCTAAAAGTTCTCTGCTCTGCTCCAGAGGAGGGAACAGCAACTCCAAACGTCTAGTATTCTTTTGCTTCCAGGGTTACAGTCTTATATTTTGTAACAACCCTAAGATTGCTTTTTCAAAAACATGACAATTTTAGAGAAGTCCAGTTGGCATACACAAGGGGGATGCCATTTGCTGTAAGGAACTTCTTTGCTTCCCAAGTGAAGTCTCAACATTTAGGAAGGAAAATGAGGGGCACAGAGAAAACTGAGGGAGGGCGAAGAAGGGGGCGGAGGTGAGAGAGAGGAGAGGGTGCTGATGGAAAACGCAGGTTACTTGAAGCTACTGCTTTACTCTTAGCAGCGGCTGGTTCAGGCACAGGACGTGAGCTTGTGCTAAGAGACATTTTAGGCCTGCTCGCTGCCTCAAGGAGGCAGCTTGTGGGGGCTTGTCTTGTCTTCCCTCTTGCAATCCCAAAGCCTTCACTGGGCTAGTGTTGAATAGCACTAGGGGTGAGGAAAACCTAAATCTACAGGGTCATCTCCCCCCACCCCCCACCGCTCCAATGGAAGCCCAGCAAGTGTGACGGTGACCTCTGGTTACCTGAGCCAGCAAGTCAAGTCCTTAATTTCAAGTGTCCAGGCAGTACACTTCCAAAAAAAGCAAAATAAACTGAAAAAAAAATTGCCAATTGCTCCTAGAAATCTCATAAAAAATTTAAGTTATGCCAGTCCTCCAAGAAGACCCATTTCCCTTAATCCCCCCGGGGTCCCACTGAAATGGAACAACCAGCAGAGCCCACCTTTCTGTCCCCTGGGGGCGCTGTGTGACCGACAGGCCACGAGACTGACCTCTGACTGCCATTGCGGATGAACCCCGAGGGGCACTCCTGCATGCACTCGCCGTCGTGGATCACGAACCCCTCGGAGTCGCTGCCCTCGGCGCTGAGGATGTTGGCACAGAAGTCGCGGTCCACGCAGCGCCAGCCCTCAAAGCGGTAGGTGTTGGGTGGGCAGGTGGGCACGCAGACGCCGGCATAGAAGTAGTGGCGGCAGGCGACGCAGGCTGTGTCATTGTCGGGCGCGCTGCAGCTGCCCAGGCACTCGGGGTGGCAGCACTCATTGTTCTCAGTGCACGCCCGCTTTCCACACGCGCTAGGGCACACTGTGGGGGCAGAGGGGACAGGGCGGTGAGATGGCAGGAACTGGACGGCCTTCACCGGGCCCGGCCAGCATTCTTCTTGGTCATGGGCTACCACCAGCACCAGATCGCTCCATTGACAGAAACCAACCAACCACATGGGAAATCCCCAAATGGAAAATCACTGGGCCCTGCACGCCAGGTAAGGGTTGCAATGACAGTTATTATAGACCATATTCAGAGTTTCTTCAAGGCAGGGAGAAAATACTCTGTCTTTAGAGTCAGGAGAGCAGGGTTTTAAGTCCAGCCTCTCCTATTTACTGGCTGTTTGGTCTTGGATGAGTCCATTAGCTTCTTTGACCTTGATCCTCTATCAAGTGGAGGCAGTAATACCCACAGTAGAAGGTTGCCTGAGGCGCATGTCATAATGTAGCAACCCTACACAAACAGTACTGTGTATTATTCCTTTTTAAAGGCATTATGCTGTGTTCATTCTGCATTTTGGATGTATTCTTTACTGAAATACCTTGAAAAGCCTTGGTGTGCAGAAATGCTCATATATTTTAAAAATGATTAAACTAGAATATAGTAAAGGTGATACCATTCAGGTTTACAAAATGGCTTTAGAAAAGTTTGTGTACGTCTGCCTGCATCACATCAAAGGTCTTACCCCAAATAAGCAATGAATACTAACTTCACGAATCATAACCTATTACATCACTGAGAAGTCCCATGCCTGATGGTTATTCTCAAATACAAGAAAGTGGGTGGGTGGGCAGTGTCTCTGAGCCCACAGGACCACAGGATATTAAAAACCATCTCCTCTGAGCCCCTCCATGCTAAAGTTGAGTGAAAGCAGTGTCTAAAAACCAGAGATCCACAATTCACATCCCAAATAGATGAGCTGGCATCTATTTCCATAACAATGCTGTAATGCTCACACTCTATGGGGCTGTCAGCCTCACTAAGCAAATAAAGTATAAATCAACAAAATATGAAATCTGGTTTGCATTATGCATTTCCTACTTTTTCCATGAGTTGGAAAACAACAGAAAATTATTTAAATATGTATATTATTGACTCTGACATGCATTTTTTAGTGAAGATTCTATTATTGGTTTTCCTTATAATAAAAATACATGCTCAAAAAAAAAATCAGAGATCACAGATAAGAAAAGAGAATATAAAGAACATCCAGTCCACTGGCCCACAAACCACCCTTTATCAATACCTTCATGTGGACCCTCCCAGATCCTTTCCTATGCATGTGCTTGCAACTATAAATATCTATTAAAAAAACAGGTCAAGGGGCCGGCCCAGTGGCATAGTGGTTAAGTTCGCAGGCTCCACTTCAGCAGCCCAGGGTTCACCGGTTCAGATCCCAGGCATGGACCTACGTACCGCTCATAAAGCCATGCTGTGGCAGCATCCCACATATAAAGTAGAGGAAGATGCGCATGGATGTTACCCCAGGGCCAATCTTCCTCAGCAAAAAGAGGAGAACTGGCAACAGATGTTAGCTCAGGACTAATCTTCCTCACACACACACCAAAAAGGGTCAAGCCCTTCTGAAAGCATTTTTTGGCATAATATACTGGGAATTCCACAATCGTTTAACAGCTGCATTGCATCCCATGGTATAATGTACTGTAAGTTACAATGAGTCTCCTATGATTAGACATCTCGTTTATTCCCAACGTTTTATTATTACAATCAGCACTAAACCTTCATGAGAGTCCTTAGTTATTTCATTAGGATCAATTTCCAGAATTGACCTTACCAGGTCAAACTGTCCTCTAAAACGTTTTTACCAATTTACACACCAAATAGCTGTGTCCAAGAGTTCCTGTTTCACTGCAAACAGGTGAATTTAAAAACAGATTATCAGAACTTGGACGTTCAAACGAATACTGAAACCTCTGAAGAAAGCCAACAAATTCGCGTGCTACTGTCAAGCTTAAAATAATTTTGCAATTTTCTCCTTTGAAATCATCCTTTGACAGAGACCAAAGGTTGCCTTCCATTATTTATTCTTCTTATTTTGATAACAGAAGCTTGGTTTTTAACTGGGCATTTTGCCATCCAGCTATATATTACATCTCTCAGCCTCTCTTATAGCTAGCAGTGACTAAATTCTAGCCAGTGAGACATAAGAAAACCTTTTGGGTGCAACTTCCTAGAAGATTCCTTAAATCAGAGGGGGCATGCCCTTTTTCTTCTTTGCTGGCTGGAATGCAGGAGTAATGCATGAAGCTCAAGCAGCCCTTTTGGACCATGAGGTGGCCCATTAAGAATAGTGGAGCAAGATAAAAGGTACTTGGTCCCTCATCACTGTATAGCCAGTAGGCTAACCCTGGACTGCTTACCTCTAGACTTCTTGAGAGAGAAATAAACTTTCATCTTTTTCCAGTGCTGCTATTTGTGTTATGCAACAGAACTAATCCCAAATAAGACACACCTTTAGAGCTATCTGTAAGCCAAGAAGACCACCACTCCTGTTGGCTTACGTCATTTTTGTTAACCAGAATTAGCTCTCACTAACTTCTGGCTATTTCCAAAAACTAATCTATCCAACAAATAACAAGGACTAACTATCTCTGATCACACCAAAAAATATATGTTGTAGGAACTCCTAAAATGGGGAGATATATAAATTGTCTACGAAGGTGATTATCATGACGAGGATAACACTGATTTGAATTGATAGGCCTAGCATATTTGCGGTAAACGCACACAGACACATGCACACACCCACACTTGACTCTCAAATCTCACACTCAGAGACATCTAAGAAGCAAATAGATTAAATGACTATTTAATTTCAAATATATCCATTATGGAGGTAACTTCAAGGCTCAAGATCTAAAGAAACAATGAAATTGTGTCTCCCTAGTTCAGGTTTTTAAATAACAAAAGAACATAAGTCCATCTATCCTTCAGTTATTTATCCACTCAGCAACTATTTGAGTGTGTGCTGCACCTGTATGCCAGACCCTGTCCTCAAGGAACAGATGATACACCAGGTAAGTGCAGGAGTGAGTGGAGGTGCATGGTGTGCCCTGGGCCCTGGGTGCCAGGAAAGGTTCCACAGAGGTGTTGAGGCTGGAGCTGAAAGAGGAAAGATGAGGAGGATAAGAACGGAGAATAACACAGATGGAATTATATGTGAATGCACGTGAAAGCAATCAAGTCACTGCGGAGGGAGGACTGGGTACCAGTGAAGAAGGCTGGGGGCCAGCCACAGACAGAGATGAGGGCCAACTCAGGGAAGCACTGAAGGCCTGTCTGAGGTGTTGAGACCTGTTGGTGGACGATGGGCATCACTGAAGCTTTTAGGCAGGAGAGCAACATGGTCAGATTTTCATATTACAAAGGTCATCTGGCAGCAACACAGAGGGTATGATGACCAGAGAGGGCAGAGCTGAAATAAGAGGGATCAGGCGAGAGGAGAGGAGACACGCAGGCTTGTTATGTTGTCCCTACAAAGTTTATGTAATATAATAGATCCATGAGGTTCATGTGGTTAAAATGAAACTGGCTGCAGAAACCATGTGCATAGTCCCACTCGTCAGCACAAACCAGCTGTATTAAGCATACACCTCACTCAGAGCACTGAAGTCTCTGGGGGCTTCTCTTCAGCCATCAGCCACCACTGTGCTTTGTGAGGGGAGGAGGGGAAAATCGATTAAGAATCTTACAGTCATCATCAGAGACTAACTGGGACCAATATCTACTTGCAAAACCCCCTTTGCCTCACTTACAATTTAAATTAAATGCTATATAAAATGACAAGTAGCAGACATTAATATCAAATAGCTATTAATGTAATACTAAAAACTCAAGAGTATTTACAAGAACAGAAAAATGTCCCCATGCACTTGCTTGGAATCAGTTATACCCAAATGCAAATGTTGGGCATTTTCATTATGAGAAAAAAAAAAATACCTGAAAAAGTATCTGTAGATATATTTTGCATTCTATCCCCCACTCCACTGGAAACAGCATCTCTGGGCAGCCGTGTATTGAGATCCCCAAAGGGGTGTGTTATATAGAACTGCACCATTAGTCAGTTCTTGCCACAAGTAGCACACAGGCTGGGGAATTAGGGTTTTGTTTCAGTGATGGGAGCTACTTCAGGAGGAATTTCAGTAAAGTTTAAATTAGGTAAAATCATATTCTTTATAAAGAGAACAATTTCTGTTACAAGGATCACGAATCAAGGGGTTCCTTTATGTTCCGTGATGCAAGCTGCACAAACAGGTATCAAATACTATGGGGGAATATATAGGGGGTGTGATGGGGAGAGATGACTTGTTGCTAGAAGACAAATTCCATAAATAAGAGGCTGCTCCAGGGTTGGAAGCCGGTGTTCCCCTGGCTGCGGCACAGTCAGAGAGGATTCTGGGAGGCAGGCAGAGAACACGTGGAAGTTCAGGATTAGAGAGTCCTGGAGCCAGCCCCAGAAGCCTGCTGTAAATTTTGCCTCATCTCAATGTATATAAATATTATTAGTGTTCAGGACTATTAAGGGATTTCTTGAAAAGCCCAGGGCAGTGTGTCTCGCCAGCAGATGGATGGCTGCTCCACATGAATGCCAAAACTTAAAATTTAGTACAGTTACCAAAATCCCAATTACGGAGCTGTGGGAGAAAGGAAGGGAACCTCCTCCCTGGCTTCCATGAATAGGGAGCACACCTAGCATGATTAAAGGCATTTCCCCTTTTAAAAATAAAAGGAAAAGAAAAGCTGCTATAAACTAACAAATATACAGGGGAAAAAGCAAATTGATTTTGCCCATGAGATCTTTCTCTTATAACAACCAACAATAAAAACAAACGCCTATCTGAATTCTTGGAAAAACTAACGACATATCCCACATCTACCAGTGAAAGGATTGGTTTGCGGTCACAGTCACATAAAAATGAGGCACTACATTAAAAGCTCATTCTCTTCATTTTTGGGGACAAGAAAAAAGTCACATACATCAGCCTTTAACTCTGTCCCTCTCTGGAGTCCTTGTATTT